ACTAGCTAATCTGCATACTTGTAGATCCACAATTAATAATTTTAAAGTTTGATTTGTGGTTTCTTTTAAAATTGATTTCCCCATTTTTGTTCATCATATTAGTGGGCGGCTTAGAGTTTTTTACTTTTGTTTTCCGCATACCAATAATAGTCATAAATTGTTCCATCATCTAGTTACTGAACACTTCGTTGGGTGTACAGAGTATTCTACAAAGTACGTGCCCATCAGTGTGTGTATGTATGTGTGTGTGTTTGTGTGTGTGGCAGCGTCAGCCGGATGCTTTGCTGCCTTTTTCTCCATGCCCAGCACAACAAAAACAAAATACAGCAGCAGCAGCAGCAGCAACAACAATAATGAATTTAAAATAAAAAAAGAAAAAAGCAACGACAGCGCAACGCAGTTAAAAAATTGCGTTGTTCATAAATCAGTTGCAATTAAAATTAACTGGAAAATGCAACGCTAATTAGATTTGTGGTCAGGTCGGGGCTCTAAAGTGGTTGCACGACAAAGAGGGCCGGCCGGCCAGTCGGCCAAGTTGCGAGCGTATGATGTGGTTTGCTGGCTTTATGCTTTTGCTTGTGTGCTGTGCGAAATATAAACGATTTAGTTGCAATTTTTTCTCAAGTGCTGGCCATGGTGGCGTTGGTGGTGACGGTGGTGGCAATGGCGGCAATGGCGGCGATGACCGGCCGGCATTGCAGTACGTTTCTATCTTTTAATGCGTATATGTACACAAATGTACATGCGAGTACATATTTCCACATTTCCTTCTTCTTTTTTTTTTGTCGTTACTTTTTTTTAATGGCAGCAAGAGGCGCTGGTTGGGGCGGGGCGTTTCGCTGCCGGTCAGTTTTTGTTTGGGACGTGTTTCACATTCTTTTAGTTGTTAAACAAAATTTCACACACAGGCAACAAGAACGCCAACAAAAAAAAGACAAAAATTGCAAACACATACACGCGCCATTTGTTTTATAACAACACAACAATAAACATGACGATAATTGGCATTTGTCGTTGTTATTGTTGTTGCTTCAAATGCCGACAACATCATCTCATTCAAAATGCCGACAATAACAGCAGCAGTCGTAGTAATAAAAACAACAACAACAATAACAACACCTATAATATATATTATCATCGACACGCGTTCGTTCACGTTACGTATACGCAATGCGCTTTACAGGCGTCGTCACTGAAGTTGACGTTTACGTTAGCAGCGGCTGCGGCTGCGACAGCGACAGCGGCGTCAGCAACGTGTCATCATCGTCGCCGATTTGTACGTTGTCGTCGACGGCTAAATGCTCACTAAAAACGCAATCCAGTGTGCATGACAGGAGTCTGCTACTGTTAAGTAAGACCCCACCCACACCCACCCCCCACACACCCCCCCTCATAACCAACACCCTACCCAACAAGCTGAAGCCAAAATGGTGGCATAAAAGTCACGACAGGCAGCCGCGGGCAACGAAAGCAAACGAAAGGAATGCGGGCAAAAATCCTTTTCACCAAATGAGCGAAAGCAGCGCAACGACGACGACGACGGCGACTGCGACGGCTCTCTGGCTCTCATCATTTACCCCACACCAATAAGCCACTGCTTATCAGGCATGGGGCAGTACGAATCTAAGATGAAAACAGAGACGACAGCGAGACGTTCAGACGCTGAAACACATTTCACAAACTAGCCTTCCCTGCATCAAACAGCTTTACAGCCGCAAGCTAATTGAAATGAAAGTTTATTAAATTACTTTTTTTAAATTTTAATTTTGGAAATCGAATTGACCTTGAAATTGTAACTAAAATGCATCAAAAACAAAAAATTAGATAGCAAAGAATTTTGTACACAGATATAAAAGTTTCTTTGTCTTTTCTTTTCTTCGCAACTTTGAAACATTTTCATATTTTCAAATTATGAACTTTGTGTGAAGAGATGTTAAATGAAATATGTAAAAAGTTTGCAAAAATTAAAATTTTTAAAGCCCAGCTTTAGTCACAGCTGATATACGATAGAATTAAATTACTAAGACAAATGTTTAATAGACATTGCAAAGATTGAAAACTCATTGAAACTCAATGAAACTTTTAAAGTTAAGTTGAGTCAACTTAAAAAATTATAAAATAAAATGTGAAAAAAAGAAAAATAAATACAAAAATTATAATCATAATATTTATAGTAATAATAATAATTAAAGCTAAAGAAAATATTAAACAAATAAAAATAATTCATAAAGCTCAATTAAATTTGTAATTAAAAGCAATTAAATTAGAAATAATATGTAAATATGTAACGCTAGAATAAAGTTTATAAGTTTCAAATTTTAAAATGCAACGTTTTCGAAGCTGTTTTAGCAATATTTCGATTGATTTTCCCAACTTTGCACAATATTTGCCAAAAAAAAAAAAGGACGCCTATTAACATTTAAATGTTTGAAATTTCTTTCTTGCTTGCAAAATTTCTCCTGCTCTCGCTGAATTAGTTTTATTGTCTGAACAGCTGCCAAAGGCTTCTGGCTGGCAGCTGGCCGAAGAGCATTGCGGGAGCAGAACTTGTGGCGTGGCACGCTGTGTCGCTCTCTTTGCACCGAGCTATTATTTTTGCCGGCATTAAGATTTGCCCGACTCCGAGAATGTTTCAATATCTACATATATATATATGTAGATATATATGTGTATGTGTGTGTTTGTGTGTGTGTGTGCCATCAACATGGATGAACGAACGTCAAATAGAACATGTGCTAATGAATTATCAACTGTCAGCAGCGGGAAGTGCAAACAGTCGCGCGAACGTGCAGATGCACACACAGCCGAGCCAATGGAACGGGCGGACAAATGTAAGTGTATTCGAAGCACACACACACCCACACACACACACTGCATTTTAGCCTACATTATAGGCCAGGCCAACGAGACAGTTTGAACGTAGTATGCCATGAATGCAATTGTGGGAATAAATATGTACGAGTATGCGCTTAGATTTATTGAAAAATAAATGCAGATTCGAGTGCATTCATGAATGCCAATGAATCATAATAGAAACACAAATAGTGTACTATTATTGTACGCCCACAAAATGAATCAATAAATAAATGGTGTGTATGCAGACATAAGATATTACTTTCTTTCAAAAATATAGTCCAAAGACTTAAGAAATACTTTTATTGAAAAATAAATATAAATAAATATAATAATATTTAAGTAGACCGCGTTTTTAAACACTTCGAAGTGGCATTATCAAATACTATATATCTTTGCTTCGAGTCTGAGTCAAATCTGAATATTAAAATTTCAGTAAGACTGAAGCCAGCTTACTTTGTAAGCGTATACTACAATCAAAAATTTTAATAACAAAAATAAACCAAATAAAAATAAACTGACTTATATGGTTTTCTCATGGATGTCATTGTCAGAAAATGGACCAGATGGAAAGCACCAGCTTACAAATACAAAAAAAAAAAAAAAAAAATCAAAACCTCGTCCAACATGATTATTTTAAAAATATCACTTTATTTGTCCGTCTGTATGAACAGCGATAACTTTTTAACCATAACAGCTAGGGACACATCACTTGATATTACTATATATCAATATAAAGTCCGTTTGCCATAAGTATTATTGGGTCTGATGATGTTTTCTATAGATTTTTGAAGCCAAGCTACAAAGTGCCTAATCAAAGCAAAAAGGGGAGCCAAAACTAGAAAAGAAAGAAGTGCTCCAGGTGGTCAAACGATTAATTTGTTTTATGATGATGTTGTGCAGATTTAGATGCATCGTATACCCCGTAAATGGCTTGCATATCATGATGAAGGAAATTGGCGCTTGCTGACCGATAATGTGCCGTCTCTTCGGTTGACACTTGCAATGGATTTGTGGCAAAAAAAATCGCACCTAAACCAACTTGAAAGGAACTTTGCAAGAAATTAGGGGTACATATTTAAAGTTGCGTAGATCTGAGTCAGTTTCCTAATTGTCGAAAAGTGTCGTTGTATATGGAACTAAAACTTGTAGCTTACAGACGGTCGAGTCTACTTGTATATACATTTTAGATTTGACTCATTCTTATTACATTTATGGATATACGAGTATACATATGTATGTGTGGCTTGCATGTGTGTGAGCGTACTTTTAGGCGCAGTGCAAATTTAGCATATAATATGCATTTCTTGAAGCTGCTTTATGTGTGTGTGTGCAAAGAAGGCGTCTATGTATATAGATATATACATATATATGCACAACTATGTGTGTGTGTTTGTCTACGGCAGCCTGCAAAAGGTAAATGACATCAATGGAGGTTGGCTGGCAGCCCCCTTCTGCACCTCCGCCTCTGCCACGACTACGCTGAGAACGTTAGGGGGGTGAAAAGGAATGCGGAAGACAGAAGACGGACGACAGCATCGCGCTCTGTGTTTACTTTTTGCTTGCATTTTGGTCTTTGCTTCCGTTTGCTGCTTGCCTGCTTACAGTTTCCGGCTTTGGGCAATACACACACACACATATACACACAAACACACACACACGTACACACTCATACAAAAGGCCGTAAATATATGCAAGTTGGGAGCAACGCGCGGTTATTGTGTGCGCGCCTTACTGTATGCAATGATTTTTTTCCCAGCGCTTTGTTGCACATACTCAGCAAATAAAAGCCCACAAGAGCTGATTCGCAAAGAGGCCTATTCTAGTCCCTCTGACAACCAACGAAACTCCACGGGCTTGTGTGTGTGTGTGTGTGTGTGTCTGTGTGTGTTTGGTTTTCATTAGGCATAGGACTTTTCGCCTTTTATGCTGATAAGAGCCGTTAATCTCCCCAAATCCTAAAAAGGCTACATGATCGATAAGTGGATCAATAAACTAATAGTTGGTTTTAGGAAATGTAATTCTACAAGTAGTATATTTAAAAGACTTTTTATTGGACACTTGGATCATTAATTGTACTATCAAATAGTATATCGAAAGGTCTTTGAATGAAACTTAATAGGAAAAGTATGAAATGGTTGACTTACCGCTTGGATCGTGATGTGGTGGCGGTGCCTGCTGCTGGTGGTGATGCAGATTGGGCGCACAAAAAGCGCTCGAGCCACCGCCTAGTGTGGCCAGTGGTTGACTAAGGGTGGGCGGTCCACCGCCACCTGGCGGTGCATAGGCGCTGGCGCGATACGAAGGCGGTGGTGAGCCCACGTCACAGCGCTCAGGCGGCACAGCAAGCGGAACTGGCGGTGGCGGCCCGTAGTGCGACTGTGGCGGCGGTGGCGGACCACCGTAATGATGTGGTGGTGGTGGCAGTGGTCCATGATATTCGGCCGCCTGCTGATAGTGATGTGCATGTGCCGCATGGGCCGCATACTGATGTTGGTGGTGCATATGGAGGACACCGCCAGCACCAGGCGCCAGCTGATGGGCATGATAGGCGGCAGCTGCAGCGGCCGCGGCTGCTGCAGCCGCATACGAGGGTGGTGGCGGACCATGGTGGTCGGGTGGGCCATGCTCTGTGTGTAGACCCAGGTCAGGTGCATGGTACATGCCGGCGCTGAGCGGCTCGCTGGGCGGATGGTGCAATGCCGCCGCGGTGGGCAATGGCAGTGGCGGCGAACTGTGGGCTGTGAAAACGCAAAGAAGGAATAACATAAGGATAAGTGATTGAGCAATAAAGATCAATTTGAATTCCCTGTCTAGATGACTAACCTTCGCTCAAATTGGAGCTGGCGCCTGGTGGCAACATGCTGGAGAGCGCCGAGAGCGGCGTATAGGATTTTGGTGGTTCCACGGAGCTGGGTCGTAGCACACGTTCCTCGGTGACGCTGGATTGTACGCGATACTGCATCTTGCAGTAGGCCTCCTGGCCAGCGCCCGCACTGGCATTCACATAGACACCAGTGATGGTGACATCTGTGTCCTGCACAATGACCACACTGGATGAGGTGGGCCGACTGGAGTCCTTGGCATCCTTGGCGCTACTCGAATCTCGAAAACCGGTGGTGATTGTGGTATCCGTGTTCGTCTCCTTTGTTTCCTTGGAATATTTGGAGTCATTGCTCTCCTCAATCATGTTGCTCTGCGGCTTATTTAGTTCACTCTGTCGACAACCCGACCCAACAGATGCAGCTGCCGACGCAGACTCTTTAGTCTCCTTAGGCTCCTTCTTAATGTTGACCTCACTGATGATCTTAGTATTTGAGTCCTTAGCCCCTGTGGCTGCGGCTGTTGTCGTCGATGTGGTTGTCAGCGTCGCAGCCTTGCCTGTGTTGGACGTACATTTCACGGAACTACTACTGCTCGCGACCACTGCTGTTTCGCACTCGTCGTAGCTCTCGAAACTGCTGCAATCGCTGGCCAAATTCTTGTCCAAGTGCCGCTCCACTTCGTAGGTGGCTGCCACAATGGCGCTGGCGTTCAGACTGGCCATACGCTTGCGCGCCAATATGCCTTTGTAGTCGCCAATTAGCTCCTCGGTGAAGGCGGTTTTGCGTTTCTTGGGCAACTGCTTGGGTGCTGGTTTATTTTTGGGCTTTTCCATGTTAGCGTTCGAAGACGACGATGCTGTTGGTCTGTCATTCGAAGCGCTCTCATCGCTATCCTCAATAGACTTTTTGGACTGCTTGGCGCACTGCTTGCTACGCTTAGACTTATCTTTAGCCTCGGACTTTTTCAGCTTGGACGGTTCTTCAGCATCCACCTCCAAGTGCTGTTGCTGCTGCTGCTGCTGCTTCTTTCCCGGTGATTTCTTTTGCAACTTCTTCTTCTTTGTCGCAGCCAGTGCCCGTAAACGCTCTAATTCTTCAGTCTCGCTGTCGCTATCGAACTCCCAATGCTTGCCTACACCCCGACCGCCCGGAACATTTCGTAACTCCCTCTTATGCTCCACCACGAGCTCCGCAATGGGCTCCTCTGTCTTTCCTGAATATGAATCTTCTGCGGGGCGACGGGATATTTTGGCCACCGCTGGTTTCTCAACATCGGTTTCAATGCCTTTAGGTGAGGAGTCTTTATTGTCATCATCACTGCCATCCAGAGTACGTATACGTGGTGGCTGCTGTGTCGCCTTAGACAGCCCCAGCTCGTGGGCTGTGCGCGATTCATTCTCGTAGAGACACTGCACCTTCGCCAGAGCATTGAGCGAGGCCATGCGATGTCGCTTGGCACCATAGCTGCTCAGTTTCTTCTCATCTTCGGAGTCGCTGCTGTCCGCAGAGGTGTCGCTGATGGGTTGCGGTGGCGGCTTTTCCTTGGCCTTGCCGGCGTTTGGCTTTTTCTTGCCCGTCTTACCGGCGCTGGACTGGTTTGTGGACGGGCCAGGTTTACGCTTTGCTAAAGATGTTGTCGCCCCACTACCACCACCTGTGGGTGTGGTAGTAGTTGGCGTTGCTGCTTTGGCTTGTTTTTTATTAACGCCTTTTTGCTGTTCGGACTGCTCTTGTGCCTCTTCTTTGACGGCTTCTTCTTTAGGCCTAAGCGGTGGGTCTATGAGAAGCGGCTTTTGCTCCAACTCTGCTTGTTTTGTTGTGCCTTCCGATTCGAGTTTCTGTTCCGCTACGGCAATACTCTTCTTCTCCATTTTGCGCAACGGTTTATTGTCTTCGTCGGAGAAGTCGCGTAACTCTTTTAGTGTGGGCAGCACCATTTTGATGGGCTCCTCATCCTCCGAGCCAGACTTGAAGTCATAGATGTCCTTATGCACTAGCTTGGTGCCTGAAGTTGGTAAGGATATGGGCTTAGATACTTGCTGTAGTCGCGCCTTGGCCGCTGAAGTCTTTGTGTACTTAATTTTGGGGCGCTGTTTAATAGGGGGCGTGGGTGTTTGGGTGACTGCTGGTGTTGGAGTTGAAGCTGTTGCCATGGACGTTGTGGTTGTCTCCGTCGGGATTGGCTTCGCTACGGAAGCGACAGATGTTCCATCTGTTTGTGTGCTCGACTGTATCACGATCTCTTCGATGTCCATTTGCACAACCTCGGTATTGGAGTCTGGTTGTCGGTTCGCTTCTCCTGTTGTCGTATTTTTGGTCTGTTGTTGGGAGTTTGGCTTCGATAGTGTCACCTCTGGGGAGGACACTTTCTTTACATTGCTCGCCTTTATCGTCTTCTGTTTGCTTCCGATGTCTTTTTTCTGTTCCGGCAGTGCCGTTGGAATAGGGGTTGAGTGTGGAATTGCTCGTGAGGTTGGGGTGGACGTTGAAGCTGCGTTTGATGCCGGTGCTGGCGTTACTTGTGGTGCTATTGTCTCACTACTGGTCTTAGGCGTTTCCTTTTGCACGCTTTTGGTCACATGCTCCTTGGTATTTGCCGACAAATGCTTTTTATTCGCTTTGACCTTGGGGCTTTCTGTATCGAGTTTGGCTCGCTTTGTCTGTCCCTTCTTCTCCTTTTCAACGGCGCTCTTGGCTCCCGAAGGTCGCGATGTCTTTGCACCATGAGATTCCTTGCTATCGCTGTAAGTACTCTTTTGATCTGTCTTGCCAGTCGTCGATTCTTGCTCCCTAATCTCTTTAGGTTTCTCCTTAGAGGACTCCGATTGTGTCGCCTTTTCAGTTGCTTGCTGCTCATTGCCATTGCTAACACGCGGACGCTTAACAGTCAGCGCCTTGGTGGGATTCATACTGGCTATAACTTTGACTGCAGCAGCACGCGACTTGGTCTTGACATTTTCCGATATGGAAGACTTGAGGCCCTCACACATACGCTCCTCACCACTGGGCAACAGATTATCGAATCCGTGTATCTTTATATCGAGATTCTTTAGCATTTTATTGATAGCGCGCGCCTTCCCATCCTCATTCTTTTCGTCGGCTGCTGATTTCGAGGATGTTACGGATGAGGCTGCCGGCGAATGCGATGTCGTCGTTGGCTTGCACTTTTCCTTTTCTTTTGAGGCACTGGACGTGGCACTATTATCCGTGGCAGTGACTGTTGCTGCTGTAGCGGTTGTGTTACCTGCTGCGGTTGTTGTTGTGCTTGTGGCGGAGACGGTAGCTGAAGCTGAAGCTGTTGTGGTAACCGTCTCCCTCGCCTCCTTCTTCGGCGGCATTCTTGGCTGACCCGACTGTTGGTGTGGCTGCTGCATTTGATTCTTGGGTTTGGCTTTCTTCTCCTCGCTGCCTGCCTCCTCGGAACTTTTGACAGCCGACTTTTGGTGCTTGCTACTGCCACTGGATGTCGTTGTTGTTGTTGCCGTCGTCGTTGTCGCCGTCGTTGTAGCCGCCGCCGTCGTCGTCGTCGTCGTCTGTTTGCGTGCCGTGCTCGTTGCACTGAACGCGCCCGTTCGTTTTTTTACCGTGGACGACGACGTTGTGGCTCCAGAAGCGGCGGCGGCCGCTGCAGCTGCTGCTGCTGCTGCCGCTGATGCCGCTGTGGCTGCAGTGGTCGTTGAGCGCTGAAGGCGCTCCGCCACACTGGGACGCTTTTTCGAGCCCATCTGGTGCTCTGCTAGGTAAGTGTGGAGCAGAGAGAAGAAAGAGAAATGGGAAAAATGTTGCTGACTATGTTTCAGAGTGTACAACTTTTGATCGCCCTGGCCCAGACGCCCAGATGCCCAGACTCTAGAGGCCCAGCATCGCTGCTGCCCACTTCACTTTCCTTTTTAGTTTAAGTGCTGGCGCGTGACCAACAATGGCTTTTTTAGTCATATACTTGCCAGGAGGCAAGGCGGAAAGGCGGAAAGGCGGTGGCTGACTAACTTTTGTTCGGCGGCCAAAGTCAACATCGGCACCGAGCTTTTCAGTTTGTTCATTATAATTGCTACAGCGGCATCAGGGAATTGGTGAATAGTTAAAACAGCTCCCACTCAGGCAAAGAGATTTGACAAATGTCTTGATTAATGGTTCTAACAGGGCCTGTAATTAACGGAATCGGCAACATTCATGGCTAATATACATATATTCATTTTAAATAACTTGTGCTGTGTATAACTAACTAGCCTAAGAGCAGGATTATATTTGCAACAACTAAAGCTGAACTTTAATATTTATCGCCATTGGAAAAAAATGTCAAAAAGGGTTGACCAAAACGAAAGCTACGGCGACTCGAATGATTCTTTTAAAAATTTAAATTACAAAAAAGAAGGCTGCAAGATTTGTGTACTGTATTCTAATACCTTGTATCTTAGCAACCAATTACTTCTTTTTATTCTGAGTAGAATAGGTGCCTCGAAAATTCAAACGAATCGAATACTTGATCGATCTTCATGAAGAATATTTTTTTTTCTTTTTCGATATCGAAATTAAAACGACAATTATCATATAACAACTTTTGTCTTACTATAGCCACCAATAGGTCTTTAATATAAATTGATTTATATTATGAAATTTTGGAGGAATTCATAGGCGATCTATGTGGGACCCTTAACAATCAATATCAACGGTGAGATATTGATTCTACGAATTTAAACGTTGTGGTACATTTGTTTTTGATGAAAATCGGACGACCGGAAGACGCGATTACCAAAAAAATCGCATAGTTCTCACTTATCGCCGTTCGAAAAAGGCGTGAAAAATGTTTAAAGTGTTGTACAAATCAAATATTAGGTAGGGGAATAAATTGTTGCCCAATAGGAAAAGGATAGAATAACATAATGGGCTGATAAGAACGTCTATAATACTCTTATAAACATATCTCTATAGCCTCGGGGCAAGGATTTCGAAAATAATTTGAGCCCAAAGTATTTCAGTGCTTTAGATACATATATTTCCAACTTCTGTTGTTCGTGGAATTTAAAAATTCTTTAGCCCTATTAAAATGGATTAAGATATAATTATTTGACAGTGAGTGAAAAATTGATCCGAACGAACTAAAGAACTGAAGATACAGACCCAAAAATATTTTTAAAAAACCAATAATGACAAAGAGCCACAAGGGTATGCTAAAAAGTATATTGCATATATTAATTTCAAAAAGTAGACTTGGGTTATGAATACTCAGATTTAGTTTACCACAAAACATGGTAAGCTCCATTATTTTATATACATAGCTGCTATAGGATCGATTTGCAGAAAAATTCTCTCTTTGCTCTTATCACTCTTAACTATAGTCTGCAATTTTATTGAAATCAGAGTATTATATTTTATAGCTGCCTTAGGAACGATCGGTGGAAATCACTCTTATTATAAAAAAAAACTATTCGATAGTCTACAGTACCGGAACCAAACTGAATTTTGAAAAGTTTTTAGCCATGTCTTATTCTTATTCTAAATTTTCATTTATATCGGAGCACTATATAACTATATAGCTATATAAATCCTATCGGTGACAAAATCACTCATAGAAGGGAACAAATTTAAATTAATAAGTTTTTATCACACCACCATATATTCGAACATTATTCATCCCTATACCTTATAGTTGCCATATGAGCTGACCTTAATTTGATAATAAGATATATTTTTATGCCATACAACCTAATCGGAAAGTTATAGGATCGTTGAGTCGCGTGGGCAAGGGCATAATAGCTTTTTATTGTATAATTATTAATAATTGTTATTACCTTTTTGCGCTCTAATAGTTGCGCATATTCCAACAGCTTAGGCCAAAGGCTGTCCTTGGCATTGGCAGCTCCATTGGGACTGCTGACCAGCCACTGCTGCTGCTGCTTGCTTTTGTAGAATTATTGTCCTTTTTTTGCTCTTTTCTTATTTTATTATTGCTGAATTGATTTTTGTTATTACTTTTGTGACTTTCTAGCGGCACTTATTTGTTTTTAACGCGTTAACACACTTTTTGGTCTGGGCCTGTGACATTTTAAATATTTGTGTTTTTTTTTAATATACATACATAACACATATGTACTATGTATGTAAATAAACAAAGTGTGTCGTCATAAAAATTAGCGGTGAGTGCAACAAACACACACACATGTGCACACATATACACACGAACGCATATACACATATATGTATATACTCGTAGTTTGGTTGTGTGAGAGTCAACAAAAATTACAAGACATTTGTTTACGCGCTCTCACGCGTCTCTCTCGTAAGCGTTTTTGGAAACGCAACGAGATGGCAACGCCGTTTCACCCGCTCACACGTATGGTATACACACACACATTATTTACCCCACACACACATTGCAACAGAAAAATCAAATTAACGCAACCAACACATCCACGCAGAGACTCATTCAACCACAATCACATATACATATAAACAGCAGCAGACGCACACACGTAGCGCTATTAAAAACTGGGCGCGTTTTCCCCCATTTTAATCCATTTTCCAAAATATAATTTTCAACCAAAAATGCATAGCAAGAGGGGGCAACATGACACACACACTCAGAAGGCATAAAAATGTAGACAGGCCTCACACACATTAATTATATTTTTTCTTATTGGAAAGCAATGAAAAACGCGGCGCTCTCTCTGCTGAAGCCTGCAGATGGTTGTTGGTTTTGTTGTAGTATAGCAAGATAAATTGCACATATAAAGTCAACAAAAACAAACAAAAAAAACATTAACTATAGCGCACGCACACGCTCCGAAAATTTTTTAACGCGGACGCGCAACGTTCACGATTTGTTTTAATTCACAGCTCAAAAGCCACTGCTAGGTTTGTTGTTTGTGTAAATGGATTCACTTACACGACGACTGCGACGTCGGCAGTGACGCTGGCAGTGACAGCACCAGTGGCAGCAACAACACAGCTGCACGGCTACAATGTCATGCGTGAGTGTGTGTCGTGTGTATGTTTATAGCCATCATGCAGCATGGTAAAAAGAGAGAAGGTTGGCATAAAACACTGCAACTTTCGTTTTCTCACTGCGGAGAAACTTTAAAATTTGTCTTCTAGTAAGCCTAACGTGTTCACTGTCTTATGTGTGTGTAAGTGGTCTGCTAAAGTTTTTATTAATTAACACCTTACTTGTGCTTAAATAAATTCTTTACAGTTGTAAACACTGCCTACACGCAGCAATATACAAGGCAACATTTAAGTCGCCATTATTGTGACGTCACGCGAAGTAAACAGCGAATAACCGACTAGCACAATGCCATACCTTCGATCTTCTTTATACCATGGCCATGCAGAGAGTGCTAGCGTTGCCATATCTGATATACTTTCCATTACAGAAACAAGTATTGGGAAACACGTTAAGCAGTGCGCAACGCCGTCACGAAAAAAAGAACTATCGGCTACTTCAAAAAAATTACGTTCTACAATAAAAATAGGCGCGTAAACGGAAGTCGGCTTGAAATTATTTTTTAATTCTGCAAAAAGTATAGCTGCGCATGTAGAAAACTATAAGTGAGTTAAAATAACATTGCAAAATGCTAAATACAATCACAATTTACACATATTTCAGATGCTGCGACCATGTCAGTGAGCAGTTTGTCGCTAAGCCTACAATTGGGCGAACAACAATTGGCCAAACTTACCAACGACAATTCGGAGATTCGCATGCGCGCCTTTGACCAAATCGAGTCGCGTCTGTTGCGGGCTCTACAACAGGGCGAAACTATTAACTTCAAGCCAGTATATTTAGTGAAACAGTTAATACGTTGGTTTGGCTACACGCCGCCTCTGGCGGCCGACCGTGTCCTGTCACTGCTCCTGGACTTACTTCGATCCGATTATGCCGATGTAATTATGCGTAAAATGCCGCTGGAACGTTTGCAGACCGAACTGGAGAAGGTGCGCAAAATTGTGCGTTGTCTGGAATCCAGATCTAGCAGCGATATTTTAGATGAGCTGCAGGATCTGCTTTCGCAACGCTATAACAGCAGTCGCAGCCGCAGCAGCAGTGGATTTACAAGCCGTACGCCCTTATCAGCAATGCAGAGCTGCGCGGATTGTCCAATTACGGATGAGACAACAGCAGCATCGATGACATCAGATCTAAGCCTGCTGGATGGCGCTATGCTCTCTGTGGAAGCTTTAGATCCGCAGAATGATTTCGAACAGCCGTGGTCACGAGCTACCGTCGATGATTTGGCCAGTCTAACGATGCTGATGAGCTCGATCAGTGCCAACGATCAGTGTAAATCGGAACTGCTGTTGCAGCTCACACAATTGCGCATACGGATGTCCGATTATCCTATCGAACATTTTCTGCAGGCGCCATACATTTTCTTGCAATTGCTGCGCCTGCAGCATCGCAAGGACGAACGCTGCTGGCTCACTATTAAGAAGGTGAACAGGACGCTGCTAACTTTCGTGCAATTGCTGCGACGTCGTTTGCTGGCCCGCCGCCAAACCCTAAACTATGCCCAGAGCATGGAGCTGTCAGGCCGATCCCAAGCCAAGGGACAAATCCGTGTGCAGAGCGCCCTCAGATTGCTGCTGAGTAACTGCCTCCATATGCTCTCCCCACTGGTGCGGGATAAAACGCTCAAGGATGACGCCATTCAGCAATGGCATCTCTTCGAGCTCGCCGTGGAAACACTGCGAACCTTTGAAGTGCTGCAGGAACCCGTCGCGGCAGCCGTTTTGGAGATGCTGCGAAAGCTGGCAGATGATTTATTGTATGCCTGCAACACGCTCAAGTCGGATGGTAGAACTGATAATGAGTCGACCAGCATGTCCCGCATGGTGGCGCGCTTGACGTTGCCACGCCTGCACTCGCTGCTGTTCAATGACCTTCTGCTGGATGGCGTTGCTCTGAATATAGCCTGTGATCCGTCGCCTGCCGATAGACAATCATATCGTCTGCTGTTGGAGCCGCTTATTGTCGACAACACGTATCTGGCCGGCAATCCACAACGCATGCGCCACATCTGCAATTTAATGAGCTCGTCGCGAAGCGCTGACGAAGATGGATCGCTGGCAGCCGGCGAGCGGGAACAGCAATTGATACGTCTGAAGACGGCGTACAGTTTGGCGCTCAGCCAATTGCAGCCAGAGTCCAAGTCGGAGCCAACACTGCTGCTCCAAATGCAGCGACAGGTGTGTCTGGTGCTGAATCAGTTGGGCAGTGAGCGACTCGTGCAGGAGCTGCTCGATGCGATAGTCAAATGCACGCCTCTCTATACGCCCCAAAGGGCGTCACTGCGTCGGGAGGCGGAATCGCTGCTCAACACGCTGTTCGAGTTGCCCGACGATCGCATGATTTTGTGCGTTTTCCGCACACTCGGCCGTCCCGTCATTGCGCATTTCCATGCGCTCATGAATCGCACACAATATATGAGCGGCTGCAACAATCTGGAGCTAGTGCGTCGTCACATTCTGGGCGTGCCGTGGAACAAGCAGCTCCTGCAAAAGCTCGTACAGCTCAGTTGGCCGAGGGAGAATTCGAGTAGGGCGACGACCACACCCTCAAAGGTGCAGCAATGCTGCCTCGATTGCATCACCATGCTGCTAAAGGTGGGCAACTTGGTGGGCAAGCAGGACTTTCAGTCGTTTGCGCAACTATTCCTGCCCGTACTGCCGCTGATAATCGCACGTAGCGTGGGGCAGGAGCAGTTGCAGCCGGTTGTGTGGCAGCTGTTGGAACCGGACACCTCGTTTCTCACCCCACCCGATATGCTGCGCGGCAATGTGTGTTTCATGTTCGTTGCGGATGCAGGATTGCGTCAGGAGGCGACCACTCGTGTGGCCTACACGCTCCGATGTGAGGACTATGCGGGAAAATTTAAACCAAATATGGCGAAGCTATCAAGCGATATTTTTCTAAAGAACTTTTGCGTGGTGGAGCCTCCACGTCCCTATGACAGCATTTACTCGGAAAGCTCTACACCCAGAGCCTGGGAGCAGCAGCAGCTCGATTTACAGTCCTTGCTGCGTCTGCTAAGCACGCCCGATCTCAAGCCTTGCATACACAAATCGACGCTTGTGCAGCTGAACGTATTGCTGCAGGATTGGCGTCTCGCTGGCACCTTCAATGACTACGAAATGCTGCTGAAGGCACTGTACATGCCGTTGCGCGCTGATCCTTCGTCCAATGATGGCGACATCGACACATTACAGCCCACGGTGGGTATTCTGATGAAGTTGCTAATCAACAGCGCCGATCTGCGTCGACAAATGCACGAATGCTTTGAGGTGCTGGTCTGTCTGCTGCGCATTTTCTTCCTGCAGCCGCTGGCGGAGCAGCTATGCGCGGATGTGGCCATTTGTCTGTTCCTGCTGCTCTATCATGAGCACGTGCTGACCACCGAGGAGCAGCTGCTGCTGAATGCACCGCTTCTGCCGGCGCTGCATGTGCCGCTTACCCACAACTTGGACGAGAGTACACCGCCCTCGCCAGCCACTGAGGGCTTGGCGCTGGAACGCCGTCTCGTCGACACTCACTTCTTTGGACGCGCCGCCAGCGCTGCCCAACATTGGCGTCTCTTCATCGCGCATCGCATCAGCAAGCCGGCGGGTGAAATTTGTCTAGGAGCGCTGCAGAAACTGGACATAACCGACTACCTCCGGTTGCAGCCTATCGAGCTGGCTCTAGTGAAGGCGACCTGCGTAAATCGGCAGCTGGAACAGCAGCTGGTGATGGCTTGCAATTCCAGTAATCATACGACTCTGGAACAGCTCGCTGCCTTGTTCCAAATCTTTGTCGTTCAACTGGGATGTTCGGTGGCGCCGGAACAGGCCCAACAAATGTGGAAACTTCTGCACAAGTATTTGCGACTCACTCCCAAAAATCTGGCCGATCGACAACTGCACAGAGTGTTAATGGAGCTGTGTCTCAGCTGTCTGCGTCATGGCTGGACGCCGGTGCTGGAGGGATTGAATGAGGCGCTGGAAACAGATCCGCATCATAGCTTTCTCGTCATGCTCATGGATCGTGCTGAGCCACTTCATGTCTATCAATTGCTCGGCGAGTGCTTCGAACAGCTCCTTAAGGTGCAGAGGGAGGAGGATCAGAGAGTTTTCAGCTGGCATGGCCAACTTTTTACCGAACTGAGTGCCGCTCTGCGCACCCTCTTCGATCTCCGCCAACTCCAACATGCCCGCTGTGTTCTTGGCGTTCTCCGCTGCCTCTCCCAGCATCCCTTGCAGCTCAGCGATACCTCGATGCGGGTGAGTTTTTTTCTATAATACCCTTGTACTCGTACTATATGGCTTGAGACGTTGAATGCGGGAAAAATATTAAGCTGCGTCGAAGTCTTTTTAAACTGAGAAACTAAATCTATAAACTTAGCCAGCACTTTACTCTAAAATCAAGATAGCATTTTTCGAAATAGGCTGATTATTTTACAAATATTCGTATTGGTTAGCTTATTGTCTCAATTCTTTATATAGGCTTAGAATAGGCTTGTTGCAGATCTAAGTATAATCGGCTATAGAGAATGTATGCTTTAAAGGCCATTATCTACTATTTCGAAGCTAAGACTGTACTAGTTTCAAATATTCTGGAAATAGCTACACATTTCGAGATATCGAAGCCAATATTTCGTCAGACTTGTTCGATTGAAAGGTATATTCTTTACGATTTTTAAACTAACCTTGCCTTGTATTAATTAGTATAGTATAAGTTTTTAAACTCTTTACGCGTAGGGTATATAGCAGCTTTGCACAAACCTGTAACGGGCAGAATGAAGCATCTCCGACCCCATAAAGTGTATATATTCTTAATCAGCATGACGTGCTTCTGTCCGTCTGTATGAACGCCTAGATTTTGGAAACGGCTGAGCGCACATTAACCAAACTTGGAATGTAGATGTTCCTAATCCCTAGGCCATACGAGTTTATTTTATTTTTTGAAATGTACAATAGTATAATAGGTTTGTGTGAGCTGAAAAATGCACCATACAGAATGAGGCGTAGCAGACCCCACAAAGTATATGTATTCTTGATCAGTATGAGAGGAGGAATCAATTTAGCTCTGTCTGTCTGTTTGTCTGTCCGTATGAACACCTGGATCTCAGAGACTATAAGAGCAAGACAAGACGATTCGATCTAGCACTGTCTGTCTGTCTGTCCGCCTGTCTGTCCGTATGAACACCTTGACTTCAGAGACTATAAGAGATAGAGACAGAGAATTTTTCACAAAGATGCCTTATGTGTATGCTGTGCAAGATTGTTTTATTTATTTTTTTATTTCCCTTACATTACTCCCCTCCTATGGGGGATTTCCCTCCCTCCCCCCTTTCCCCTACTGATTTTCCATAACTCCCGTATTCCTTGGAATTTTTCATTGAAATTCGAAAAATCTCTCCAGTTAGTGATTATGAGGCCGTATGCCAAGTTTAATAGTGATATTGTGGATTAACTTTTCCACTTTTTTTTGGTGGCCCAACTAATCACAGTCTTTCCTACCTTCTTCACAGCATTATATCCAGCACTTTGTGCGCCTTTCTAGCGAGCTGCGCGCCTCCACCCAAACGGGCGCCCAATGGCAACGTGGCTGTTTGTACATCATCTGCCAATTGCAACTACAATGCTCTGCACCGTCTGCCAATTCCAATTCAGGGCAAGAATCGTGTGCGACTTCCAATTACAAGTTTCTGCGCTATCTGCTCGGACTCTGTGGACACAGCGACGGTGAGGTGCGGGGTCTAGCCTGGGTATGCATGGCCAATTGCATTACCAGAATTGCGGTTGGCCAGATTGAGGAATTGCTGCCACAGCTGGACTTTTTGCCGGGTGGTCTGCCCGCTTGCTGTCTCACCACGCTGCTGGACGTTTTCGAAACAATGTTGGTGCGACAATTGGCGGGACGGGTGCTGCTGTTATTGATGCCTGCGCTGGGCGGCGAGGCAGCTATTGAGCTGCTGGAGCGACATGCATTCATGCGCGAAGCGCTGGCTTCGTTTAGTGCCCTCCAAATGGATATGCAGTTGCCACGCTCCTTTCCACTTAAAGGGCCTCTGCATTCGTGCGAAATACTGAGCTGTTATGTCGCCATCTGCGCACGTGTCGTCGTCCTGCAGCCCAGCTGGTGTGGCAAGCTGATGGAGCACGCATTCATTATTGGTCTGCCAGATCTGTTGAAGGTGACGCCGCCGCCCCGAGCTCGTCGCGCCGCCTACTACCAGCTCTGCAACCATATCTGCGAGCTCTACGCCCTCTGCTATGGACAGCAGGAGCATTTTGCGTATTTGCAGCGCAGCATTTGCCGGGACCCCATCTTTCTGCGCACCTTTGTGACGCTGCTGGAGGAGCCGCAGCTAACGGATGGCCAACTGCTGTCACTGCTGAAGCTGCTGCTCGTCTTCTGCAAGGACACGAATGCCTATGGCTGTTTGTGTGAGCAGTTCAAGGAGCGTCCGAAGGTGTTGCTGCAGCTGCTGCTGAAGGGACTCCGTCTGAAACAGCTGGGAACGGCCCTACAACGGTATACGCTGTCTGCGCTCACACTGCTGCTTGTACGCTCGCAGCATATGGAGGAGCAGCTAAATTTGGTGCGACTGCTGGAGGCGCATGCGCCGATCACTGAGAATGCTGTCGAAGTGCGTGAGGATGTGATGCAGCAGCTCGACTCCTATTCGGACAAAGAGAACTCGCACGTAAATGACTTAAGTAATAGGCTAGACGAGCTGAACTTAGGAAAGCGCCAGAAGCACAAGCAACAGGAGGCCAAGGAGGAGCCACCATTAACGGACCGGAATGCGGCTATACTACTCTATCTGCAGCTAGATCGTCTCTTCGACCAATTGTATCCCACAAAGAGTTACAATTTTCGACATCCGCCAGATGTGACGCATGTCCAGGTATGCGAGGCACTGGGCGTGCTGTTGAAGCTTTCACCCTGTGCTCAGAAAGCCTCGCGTCCTCTCCGCTTACTTGAACGTGTGCTGCAGCTATTGGATCACTTCCTAAACGATCCCAACGTTGGCAATGCCAGCGTCTATATGCGACGCGTAGGCGCCCACAAGGCCAAGGATATACTAAGCAATCTAATCGTGCTGTTGAACATGCTCCTTCACTGGCACAGTTCCCATCATGCCCTCATCTCGGAACCCGCCATGGCCACGGGCTGTATGCATCTTTTATTACGCATCTGGCCCTGGTTGTCGCACTCGGCACACCTTAAGCAGCTGTGCTTACGTCTGTGCGTCTTCCTCACTGAACACTCCTTTGAGATGTGCAAGCAGGCGTCCCTAATTCCATCCAATCACTCCCAGTCACTGCTGCAGTTGATGGTGCGTGTGGCCGACCATGAGACGACCAAGAAGGAGGCACCCAGTACAACCACCAACGGCGCGTACCTTGTGGAAGCCGTGCTTCGTGTCATGAAGAACTGCTGTGCCTGTAGCGAAGGACGTCTTAGTCTCGTCAAGCTGCATGTATTGGACATTTTCGACATCATATTTCCGGGCAGTGGGAATTCGTCGGCTGCTCTCAAAGTGAGGCCAGAACTGCTGCTGGCCTGGCTCAGCTTCTGGGAAGTTTATTCCCGGTACGATGTGGGTGCCAAGGCGTGTCACGTGCACGCCCTCCTAAATGGCGTGCGTCGCTCACCACCGCTAAGCGAAAAGCGCATGCTCTGTTTACGTATCCTGCGTAACATGTGCTTCTATACCGGCAATCGCACCCAACTGGTGGCCATGGATGAGTACATAAATCTCATGCGCGATATTGTTGCTCAGCCGGTGCGGGACATGGAAATACGTATTGCGGGAGGCAGTGACGAAGAAGCTAGTATGATTAACTCGTACGAGGAGCACCATTTGGTCACATTGTGCTTGTGGAAGCTGTTCGGCTTCGGGGCCAAGTACAAGGCCATGCTGCGAAGCACCAAATTGGCCAAACAATTGGCCCGCCTCAAGGAACAGCTTGACTTCTTGGAGACGCAACGTCCGGAAAACTTTCGAAAGCTGTCACACGCCAAGGAGCTCAGCAAAATAATCACGAATCTTTTTGCATCAATCAAGGAATGAGACACACTTGAATATGTATAAATTAAATATTTTTTTATTAGTTTTAATTAGCTCGTTGATTTATGTTTACAAAATACAATTAAACTGTTCCAAAATGGTTTATGGTTGCTTATTTACTGTTCAAGGACTATCGGCAAATGGTTGATTTAATATTTTATTCAGGATAATTGATAAACCTAATTATTCATGATGCTTGATTGATTACGTTACCTCGCTAACTTATTGTGCATTAGGAAATATACTTTTTTATTGCGGTCCATACGATTCCGTTATCTAGCCCTGCCAGACCTGCTGCGTTTTTAACGTTAATTCAAATGTCTGTGCTGCCACCGTTCATAAAAATACTGATTGTATATGCAAGTCACTTGAAATTAATTAAAAAACAAAGAAGGCAATGTATATTGAAACGTGAATAAATTGGAGTATATTGTGGCTATAACAGGAAACAAATAATAATTTCATTAACACATAATTAAATTCAAATAAGTACTTCAGTTGATTTCGTTATTGAAAATAGAAAGAAAAAAATTCAGTTATGGCATTGGAAGCTGTATCAAGAAAATTTACATTTATAGATTAATAAAATATGTACATATATATACAAATGTATGACCTAACAGAAATACAAAGAAACTGTAAAATGTGCAAATAAATTAAATGCAATTTTGATTTTATCTATAGCGTGACGATATAAATTTAATACAATTTTACACTTAAATTAACTAACTACCTCTTATAATATGGGTAAAAAACTAATAAGAATAACACAACAATCAGAATTATACATTTCCAAAGTTATAATTAGAACAATTGTAGTTATGCATAATATTCAACTAGAAAGTATTCAATTGAATTTTTTTAGATGCTACTATTTACTTCTTTCTCTCTACTCTTAAGTTGAGTGGGTGTAACATTTTTAGGGTTGTGTAAAATTTAGCAGCAGGTGCCTAATTAGAAAGTTTAAAACCAACATAGTGGTGCTACACCTCAAAAAACAAGTTAAGTGAATTTTTGAACATTGATTTTGTTATACTTAAAAGAAAGTGCTAAGCAGTCATGAATAATTAAGGTACAATTTTTGAATCGAGAACAGAAACATATTTGAATCTACGGTTAAATAACGCAAGGAGGCCACACTTTATTTGTAAACGCATCTGGCAGCGCTTACACTACCTAAACGGATCTCTTAAATATAATTTTCTCTTGCCTATTGACTTTGTATAAGCTACAGCTTTACCTATTAGAAAGTAAATTAGTCCAATAATATAAAATAATTACGTTTGGTGAAATCGAACTCGTTACTTTAATAACTTTTAAAGTGCAACACTGCACGAGTCGTGACAAAGTTACACGAATTAAACACATCTCTAGGCTTCGCCGTTGCTTTTGCTTTGCCGCCTCGTTCAGTATTAAGTTTTGAGTCGTCCTGTCTGCTTGTATGTTTTCGTGACTTAACGGAGCAAAAGCAATCAAAGCCAGTGTTAGCTTGATTTTACAGTGCAAATCCTCCACCAAATAACGCTCCGAATTTCCAATTTTTTTGTGAATTGTGCAAAAAATTTTTTTTGCCCCTAAAACCGACAACCCAACGCCACATACACCAAAAAGTTAACTTAAAAAAAGAAACCAACCTAAGGTAAGTTTTACTTCTTATTGGCGCAGCAGTTTTCAGCATTTTTTGCGCACCGGTTCTTTTTTCTTTCAATTCTTATTGCGGCGTCCATTGTTGCAAAAAATAAAAAAAATAAAAATAAAGAAAAGAAGCGAGCAAAAGAAATCAACGGCAAGCAAAAGCTGCTGCTGCTGCTGCTGCCGCTGCTGTGGCGGCGACGACCAACCAACCAACCAACTGGTTTTTGTTTGTCTGCAGGCCCCCTCCCTTGGCACCGTGTCGCCACAGACATTGCAAAAAGCAGCGTCGCAAAAAGCGTTGTATATTTTTTATTTATTACAAGAAAAAAGACATTGCGTTTGCCGTTATATTAACATTATAAGAGCAATTTGCTCAACAGTTGTTAACAACACACCTACAAAAATATCATTTTTAATGAAAAAAAATTAATTTTTCGTTTTGCCGGCCGGCCGGCTTTTTTTTTTGAGTCTGTTTTGTGAACGCTGTATGTATGATGTGTGTGCGTGTGCTTGCGCTTGGCTTGGGCGGGGCGGTTGTCGCTGACGTTGACGTTGACTCTGAGAATATCCTCCCCATAAAGCCTGCACACACACACACACATATATATATATATATATTTTGTTGGGCGTGGCCACTTAACCGTCGCCCGCTAACTTCACATTTTCTGTACATACATATGTGGTCAATATCGTATGTATGTATGTACTCGTATGTATTTAAAGTTTTTATCAATTTACAGGCGCAGTTAAACTTTTGTTCAAAAAAAAAAAAAAAAAAAAAAAATGAAATGAATTGCACAAATCTGCATGTGTGTGCATATATGCATGTGTATGCGTGCGTGTGTGTGTCGGGCGATGACTAAACAGCCTGCGCATATTTAAAATTCATTGAATGTCGCTCTGCCCATCAAATATACAGAAATTGAAATTTATGTACAAACGCATGCATGTATATGTATGTATGTATGTGACAGCCTGCAGACGTGCATTGCATGTGTGTGCGTATGCGAGTGTATGTGTGGGTGTGCGTATCCGTACCCGTACCCGGAGCCTGGTTCTGCATATGCTTGCCAAATGCTTCTTCGAGGGTGTTGAACGAACAGACAGACGTCCAAAAAAAAAAAAAAAAAAAAAAACAAATTGGAAATTTGAATATGTATGTATATACTAGTATGTACTATACATACATATGTACATACAAATTAACTCTGCGCCCCCACAATCGTTGCAGAGCTAACAAAAAATAGACGCTGTTCTTCATCTTCTTTAGTTGTTTTTGTTGCAATCGCTGAACAGACGGCACTTGAATGTTAAAACAAAACCCAAAACGCGCTGAAACGTTAAGGTCGCATCTGGCCGACTTTTGTCTCTCAGACACAGTGTTCAAACGAAAATAAACTCTGTTGCACCGATCGTTCCTATGAAACCTTGGATCATGGTGTGGCATAAATACTAAATTGGGTTAAGATATCTTTATAAACAAATAGTTGTACTACTAAATCTAATCTTTTGGCCGATCTCTCCTATGGTCGCTATATAAAATAATGGGGCTATAAATGGTTTGTTATAAACTTGCTCCGCATACGGTTAAGACAAGTCTACAATCCAAATTTGGTGTTCATAGCTATTATGGTTTAAAAGTTCTCGATGTTCATACAGACGGACAGATGGTATCGATCATACAGACATAAAAGATGGGGCTAGCTTTCTAGTATACACTTCCCTATCAGTCTGCGAGTACAGGCTATAAAAATTGAAAAGAACAAATTTACAGCTGGCGCCCGCCTGGAGGCCTGGAGTCAGTCAGTCACTCAGTCAGACAATAAATGAAATTAACAAAAATAATAAGCAAGAAGAGAAACAAAAGAAATTATGCACACATATGTACATATGTATGTATGTGCAAGTATGTATTAAAAAAAAAGCAGGCAGCGGCAGCAAGTGGTGAGCAAAAGCGTTATGTGAAGTGGAGTGTGTAAGGCTTTAAGAAAATAAAAACAACAAAAACAAAAAAAGGCCAAGAGAAAGGGCAAACCATGGGCAGCGGGAACAGACGGTGGTTGGCGGTGGTGCTAAGGCAGCAGTGGTTAGGCGGTGGCAACAGCGGCGGTTGCTGCCAGCCAGCAGCTGTGTAAGTGGCTTAAGTGTGGGCTGAGGCTGAGTAAAAGCAACGGACGCTGTGGCGGATGACGGCGACGACGACGTCGACGCTGATGTTGATGATTCATCATACATACATACATACTTACATATATGTATACATATGTACATACATACATACAGTTATACAAAAAGCGACAGACGGCAACGGCGACAACGACCATATTTTGAAGTTGGAAGCTGATTCACGGCAAACAAGCCAGACACACATTTACATGCATACAAACATATACATATATACACACACACATACATACATGTGTGCTACACACACACACACACACATGCACAATGTGCCACGTCTCCTTTGTTTCATTAAAAAAGGAGCTGCGGTTACGCCAATGACTAATACTAAGTGGTAGCTTTTGCAATACAAGTATATATTAAGGAGAGGGGGGAGAGGCAAGCAAGAGAGCAGAAGAGCAAGAGAGCATTGCACAAAAAACAAAACGAAAAAAGCAAAAACAAATTGTGCAATGTTGTTGTTTAACAGTAACCTGAGGCGCCAGTAAGCTAAGCTGGTCAGATGTCGGGTGAGGGGATCCGGCAGGCCGTCAACAATTTTCAACTTATATGCCATATATGGTCATATTTTAGATGCACTCGCCTTAACAACTCTGACCTTGTAACGTTTTGAGCATTTGTTAAACAAATTCAATATGCATTTGAACAGTCGCGAAGCTACTAACGATTCAAAGCTTGATATCTGATTGGGGGAGATGGAAAGTGTCACCCATTTAGCTGTGAAACTTTTAAATACCCAGAGAATTGCTGATAAATTGTCTAACCCAATCCATTACTTCGGCTTTAACTTGGACAGCATCCAAACAATTTGTTCCATGCTTTAATACTTCTTTATTTTCTTGCTCAATTGATATGAATGCAACATCGTTTTCTTAAAGTATATGTATATCGAGAATATATTTTAGCACTTGAAATAGTATTGCTGTTTAAAAAACACATCTCTCTCAAATATTTGTTTAATTATATGCCCAACAAATACTTCAAATATAGATTCAAAGTATTTTTTTTTTTTTAATCTTTTAAAGACAGATAGCACTTTTTTACATTTTCATTCATATCTAATTCTACAACCTATATGCATGATCTGAAGAGCATTTTAATGCAACAGCAATAATAAAAATTAAAATAAAAACTTTCACCTTGATATGGAAATGAAGCATTTAAAACATTGAAGCCCATATACTATATAGTATGTGTTTACTAAACATACGTAGGTGGTTTCTATGGTAAAAATTGTTTCCTTAGATAACGCCATTTCAAATTTCAAGATAAAGACTAATCGTACGCTTCACTTTAATCGAAATTCATTGAAATGGGGGGAGGGAAAGAAAGGAACAAGTTCAACAGTTTTTGGACACAATAAATACCGCAAAATGTTGAACGTAGAATTCCCAAAAAGAATATGTATCGCGATATCATCTATTTCAACAAGAATTATTTTTTCGTTTGAACCTAATTAGACATATTTTTGCAAACTACTATTACAGATAGACGGGCATATACTACCTTACTTTATTTACAATTATGTCCTCAGACTGTATCCAAAAGTAGTTCCTTCTCTAATGTATTCTTATCGTGCCCTTTCCACTCATAAAGAGTTGTTCAACTTTTAATTAAGAGGCGTTCTTCAAATAGTGGACTTACTAAATTAATTGTAGAATAAGCTATTATTGTTATTATTATTCTTAGATCTATATCTTACTCGAATATCGCATTTTTAGCCACTAGATTCCGGATGTACGTTTCTTGGCAAGCAAATCTATAAGTAGTCTTCCCAGAAATTCGAATTTGTGTGCAAATTATTTACAAGTCTGAACGTAGTTCTAAGGTAAAGTTAGATTTGAAGTTCCTTCAATTAAGCAATAATAATTATGAGACTTACTATCCATAGCCAATTTGGTAATGAACACCAAATAGTGCAAATTCTTTGTATGTCTGTCCGTAAGTAGCTCGAATAAAAAGTCAGTTATGCAAATAATTTGCACACAAGTTTGCCAAATTTCCACACATCAGAATTCTGTATTCTGAATGTTAGAACTTTTGTGGAAAAAGAACAACAATTTGTTTGCAAATTATTTGCGTGTCTGACCACAGCTAACTCGAGCTTAATAGTTTCTGAATTCTGTATTCTGAATGTTAGAACAACAATTTGTTTGCAAATTATTTGCGTGTCTGACCACAGCTAACTAGAGCTCATTAGTTTCTGAAGGCAGGGAATTTAAAAGACAACCCAAAAGCCATTTGGTGCATACTCAGCACATACATACACACATATGTATGTATATACATATATATACCTGTATATATGTATAAATATCTCGTACTTGCCTGCTGTTATTATTTTTCTTTGTTTTGTATTTTTCTTGTTAATGAACCTTTGGCAGAAATGCTTGGCAAAGGCATTCCGTTGCGGCAATAATTTGGAATTCAATAAATGATATAGAGGATGGAATTTCAGCTTTTCATGTCAGGCACACATACCTCCATACATACATATATATAGTTTATATAGTTTATATATGAATTCGTGCTCGTATGTGCGAATGTATAGATAAATGTTAGCTAATGAAGCACCTGGACTGGGTACAAGGGAATGCCTTTGTGGAAGGCAGTCGTCAAGTCGTGTCGAATCGTATCGAACTCAATTGAATCCCTTGACAATGGCAAAAAGTTCTTGCTAAATTATTGCTTACATACATACATATCTTTCAAAATATAGCGGACCGACCAACCAAACACAATTCATTTGGCTTTTCGCAACTAAAAATAAACGTGATAAAATGCAGTTTATTGTTTAAACGACGACGTGACAACGGACGGCGTCACTGAAACGCACAAAGAGCGCAAATAACTCGAACCCATCATCTGGTGGGGTGGGGAAGGGGGGGTCTTGGGCTGATAAGAGCGGCAGAGGCTAGGCGGCGATTGAAACGCAAAGTGCATTGCAGTGGAAATGGGAATCGAAACATAATCTGTGTGCGGGGGGTTCACTGAACTCCTCTCCTTCTTTTGTTGTTGTTGATAGCGAACTCTGTTCCGCATACCGCCTGGGCCCGCATACCCCTAAAACCGCCAGCCAACACCATAACCATACCCCTACCTCTAGTTCTCCTTCTGCTGTATGGTTAGGTTGATGCGTCACCGGCACAGCAAACATTTTCATGAGTGTTTGTTTGTGTTTCTTTCTTTCTTACACCCCTATTTCTTGGTCAATGTCAGGCTGACTGACTAATTTGCAGCTATGTGTGTGTGTGTGTGTGTGTGATAATCAGCGTCGAAAAACAAAGCCACCGAACCCCAAAACTTCGTCAGCTAATCGCAGAAGAGATTTCGCTTCAACAGCAAACAATAAAAAGAAAGCAATCAAGAAAACACACATACTATACATGCGAAATATGTATCATAAGCCTGAAAATAGGGCAAATTAAAGATATAACAGATTGCTATCAATATCCGTTTCCGCAATGATGAGCTGAAGTGCACTGATATAACACCAGGAAGGGAAAATCTTGATGATATAAATAAATCAAAATCTTCACAAAGAATTGGTCTTGTGCTATGAAGATGATTGTGAAGATTTACAAGCTGGATTACAATTTTGAACAAACTCGACATATTTACAATATCTCTCTCGTTGACAAATCACAACTCACAAGAATTGTTATTTAGTTATGAAAATGATCATATCTGAAAGAATTGTTCGTTAGCTATGCAGATGATCATATCTGAAAGAATTGTTCCTTAGTTATGAAGATGATCACATCTGAAAGTATTGTTCTTTACTTAGGAAGATGATTGTGAAGATTTCCTTACATTTCTGCACAAACTCTAGAGTAACGTTAGAAATTTCTGATTAACGATTTTTGCAACCCAAAATAATTAGATTGATTGCAACATAAGAGAACCGCTAAAAATTCAGTCAAGTTTAAAGACCGTATTCTGTAATCAGTAATTCTGATAGAAAGTTGACTTCTCCCTCAAGACTCGGAACATTATAGCTCCCGCTTTGAGTTAGATTTGTTTTCCCTTTCGAAAAACAGCATGAAGTCGTGGAAAATCCAGTTACTATACTTTCGGTCTGAGGTAGTCAACAGATCATGACTAATAAAGCTTTTATTAATTTTTAACTTTAATTTGTCACAATCTAATCAGACAAAAATGTTTCTGATTCCCAAACAGATATTTTCAACTATCTTCTCTATTAGAGCTGCCTATACACAAATAAAAGAGTCAATTGATCTAGATTAGAAATGTCGAAAGACAAGCAGGTCTGTTTGGAGGAAGTGTGATATATTATTTTCAAGCTATGGCGGTTTTAATCGAGCCCATTTCCCGAACTTTTTTGGCTGCAACATTTGAAATCCCTAATCATTATGTTTTCGTTCCGATTCAAAAATGGGAACAGACTATTCTCTTCATCATTAGTATTTTAATATTTAAAAAAAAAAAGCAATCAATTCATTATCTGTTATAACTTAGTATATAATTCGAAATTGAGGGTTTTTTTTTTCATATATGTATGTATATGTATTTATAAAAATAAGTCTTTATGGAATTAAAGTGTGTTCTGTGTGTAAACAGCTGTATTCCAACTGTAAAACTTGGAGTGACTGCCAGAGTTCAAGGATAGCTTTCTAGATATTAATCAATTTCACAATTATCCATCACTCCTTCGAGAATCTGGAAATATATTAAGTCAAACATTGCTTATCGGAAATATTAATGAGTTGTATACTCAGAAGATTTCAACTCATTCTTTTAAACTGTAAAGAAAGCAATAAAGAAAATAATAATAAATACTTAGAATTACAAACAAACCATTTGCAAAATTATTGGTTATTCATAATATTTATTGCTATACAAGTAGGTTTGTGGTTTCACTTGCCTTTGCGAGCTGTTTCAGTAATGTCATAGGTATGCACAAGTTTAAGATAAGAAATATCCATCAAAGGCAAGTTGTTGCTTGCTGAAGTCCCTCACATTTTTAATGAGGACTGTATTTTTTGGAAACTCCACCCATATGTTCGTTAATTATTATTGCACACCAAACAAATTCCAAATAGGTAGAAGTTACAAATAAACTTTTTTTTAAATTGCCAGCTGTTTATAATTTCGAATCAAAATATGATCGAATCCAACTGAAAATGCTTCGAAAGCGAGAGAACGTTTGGAACTCGATTCGTCAACGTGAACAACAAACTAAAAATAAGTTGCAATTGGAATCGTTTTACATTCTACAAGTAATCGAAGACAGTAACCAATGGGCGAATGAAAACATGTCCGTCTGCCAAATTGTTCGACTGTATGAGCACCGAGAATATTTAAACTGTAATGGCTAGGGACACCAAACTTTTTCTTTTCTATATTCTCTACTTTTTAGATGTATAGATGAAATGCATTCTAGAAACGCAAAAAAACAATCAAAAAATCAGCTCTTAGCAAGCCATTCACTTTACATTTTTCAAAGAATGTTACACAAATTTTTGAATCGTTGAAATGATTTAATTTTATTTTGCACTCTCTCTTTTTTCTGTCTTATAGCAAAAAATAAATTTAAAAATGGCAGCACCAGCATTGAAAGATTTACCCAAAGTGGCTGAGAACCTGAAGAGCCAGCTGGAGACCTTCAATACTGACAATCTGAAGAATGCCAGTACTCAGGAGAAAATCATTTTGCCCACAGCAGAGGGTAAGTCAAATAAAATATACATATATTAATAATCAAATCAAATTGTTAAATATTACTTGTATTTGCAGATGTGGCCGCTGAAAAGACTCAGAAGTCGATTATCGATGGCATTACTGCCTTCGATCCATCCAATTTGAAGCACACGGAGACCAATGAGAAGAATCCATTGCCCGATAAGGAAGGTGTGTATTTAATTTAATAACTCGAGAGAGTTGTGAGAGCCGACAACAGAGTTAGATAGATATCTATCTATTTATACAGTATAGCCTCGATAGTTCAATATAGCAAAAATTCGCATAATTAAGAAAAATGCATTGAAGAGTTCCATTTTAAGCCTTGCTTCTAAAATTACTTCAAATATTCCAAGCACTTGCAGCTGGAAAAGCGAATTCTGTAAGATATTGATGGTTGCCTTTGAATAGTAAATAAAAGGCCCGTCTGTCAATTTGTTCGACTGTATGAACTTTTAGATCATACTAGCTAGGGACACTAAATGATTCGTCCTGGCATTTGTTTGCACTCCAGCGTTATTCCAAGCTATCGAGTTAACACTATGTACCATATATATATATATATATTGCTATGTACATAAGCAGTTGCTTGGCCTTGTTGACGTGCCGGCTGGTTGCTGGCTGCCTTGGCTGGTTGCTGGCTGCCTTGTCTAGCAAGCAAGTTACCTTAAATGGCATTCGTCACTAATACGCTCCACATATTTTCTCATCATGTTCTCCTGCCTCCCTCCCTCCCCCTTCTATAAACTGGTATCTACTCTTTGCAGCTATTGAAAAGGAGAAGGAGAAGAATCAATTCATAGCGGGCATTGAGAACTTCGATGCGAAAAAGTTGAAGCACACCGAAACTAACGAGAAGAACGTGCTGCCAACCAAGGAGGTCATTGAGGCCGAGAAGAAGGCCTAAATAATCAGTGGCAGTGGCCAACAACAACAATAATAACTGAAGAAATGCGTCGATGTTTGTGAGCAGCGAAGTCGCCGTAATTGTCTCTCCATATACATATAAACATATATTTTTTTTATTTCATTGCTAAACAAACAAAAAAAAAAACAAAACAAAAAACACGTAAAACGAGCATTTAAGTAATAGGTGGAAACAAAAAAAAAAAAAAAGACAAACTATGTTCTTCTCTCTCGTAACAAGAAAATAATGATAAGACGCCGCATCCAATGCAGCCATCCATCGAACAGAAAGATGAAGAAAAACGTTCCACAGGCGCAGCAACAGACCAAGCAGCAGTGGCAGCAGCAACAACAATAACAATTGCAACAACAACAACAAACTGTGCAACATTTTAGTTGGCTCGTCAGCTTCGTCAGTTAGTTAGTTTGTTGGCCATTACTAAAAAATAAAAACAAAAACGGCCAACAGTTGCAAACCTTGTTCGCTTCTCGCCTATCTGTCTCGCCTGTCGATGTCGTGACTCTTTGTTGTTGCTGCTGTTGCTGAGCCGCCTAACTGTCTTGTCTGTCTGGGCCAAGTATATATATATTTTTCTCTCTATATTGTGTAACATTTTTGCAACAAAAACAAAAAAATACAAAAAGAAACGAAGAAAAACTCATTCCTACAACGCAAATAAAAATAAAATATGATACAACTTTTTGAATGCATTATGCGATTTCTGGACATATATGCATATATATATACAATAACAAAAACATACACACACACACACACACCACACACATACATACACACACACAGATATGAAATCATTTATGTATTTACTTAAGAAACAAAAAGACATTACTTTGTAAAAGACAACAAAAAAACATCAACAATGTACGAGAATTAATTCCGCAAAAAGAAACGAAATAATTGAAGAAATGTATGTGTAATTTTTTAATAAAACCTTTTTTATATGCTTTATATATATTATATATTTATACTGGGAAATAAATTGAAAGCATAAATGTAACATTTTATAACAAAAACACTCCAAACTGAGAATTGTTTTGAAACACCTTTTACGCAACCTAGATAAGGGAGAGTCTCACAAAAGTGAGAGAATTGTTATAAACTTTTAACTGTCATGGGAACGATATATATTTAATATTTAGAAAGAAAAGTTTTCCTTTTCAAAACCGCGAAATGAAATAAATGAAGAGAAAGAAAGTCCCACAAAACAACGGGAATCTGTACTGAGAATCGTATCCATCATCATCATAGGTATTTGAAATGAAACTCGTTAGAAAACTCGGTTATCGTATCGGAACATAAAACCGATATTTCTTTATTATTATTTAGGGGAAAGTCTCATGAAAGAAATCTTGAAACTCGCGAGCTGTTTCTTTCATTAAACCCTTTTAGACACTTCTACACTACTGTTCTACTTACATAGTCTTGTTTTAACACAAGACATCTCTTCAAGAGATGCTCAAAAGCTTTGTTACTCGAGAAACGTCAAGCTCCCTAAAATAGCTATCCACCTCTATTATTCGGAAATTGTTTACCACCCAGTTATGTTTTGAAGTTTGAAAAAAGGAAATAAACAGTTGGTTATGATTTGCATCGATCGCTACTGTAACAGAGTATATAGTGGACCGATTTACATGAATCTTAAGAAAATATGAGATTTTATATAAAATCCATCGATACAGAATTAACTTGCGATACCGAATTAAAAATAAAGACATTCTAATATGAGATCGGCTCCAATCGACAGTTTTAAGATATAATACCACAGATTTTTTTGAAACCTTAGAACACGGTGAGACCCTATTCAAAAGTTAAATGACCTCTTTTAGTAACGCCATCCAAATAAACGAAGTTGTTGCTAATAAGACTGATAATTCATTTAGCAAATATAAATAATATTAGGGCTATATATGGTTTGTATTAAACGTGGACTGCATATGGATAAGTCAAGTCGACCTGCTAAGTTTGGTGTCCGTAACAAAGCTGAGTTGAGTTCAGTTTACGGGCAGGCGTAGAAGCTATAAATCGGTTTTTTCTTCGCTTTGGTAAAGTAATTAATTTCTGAAAACCAGTAATGTGAATGGTTTATCTATTTATTCCACAACTCGAAACGAAACAGACTTAAATATCTAAAAAATATTAGCTTTAATTCGATTGCCAAATTCCAAGAATTACGGGAGCTGCAGAAAATCCCTAAAAGCGGAGAAGTGGGGGTGTATCAGATGAAAAAAAAACCTTCATATGCCTAGGGCTTAGGGGAACCTGGATCCCAAGTTTGGTTATTTTAGCTCTTGTACATCCATACTGATCAAGAATATATATTAAGTTTTTCGATTTGCGAAAATGCTGTGTGCCAAACGGATTAATCGCAAAAGTAAAACTTGCTGTTTAGGGCTACGCGTAAAAAACAGTGAACAATTTATTATTTAAGAACTAGCACACAAAATGTACTCTTAAATAACATGAATATTCTCAACTAATCACCTACGGAATCACGTTTTCTAAGTCGAAGCTTTAAAGTAAATCCATAAACGAAGTGTGATCCAGAAAACCAATTACGAAATTGACTGACTCTTTCTTTGAAGACTACAAGTTTGGAAAAAGTTGAAATATCTAACTAATAACAAATAAATTATTTTTCTGGAATATTGACAAACTCTTTCTTTCTTCGAAGACTGATGAGTGTTGAAAAACTTACTAAAATTAAATAGATTCATTTATTGTTGCATATTATTATATTTATCAAATATATTGCATATTATTAATCAGATTATATCATTTCAGCGGCTGACTTAAGAACTGGAAGTGAAACATATATATGAGTATATGCTATTAGTGTTTTTAATGTCCGGCTCGAAAGACCATGTTGTCCTTACAAATGTTTATAAATGTTTAAATACTTATAACTGAGCTGCACAAAATGAAAATAGATACGCCTGCCTGTTCACGACAACAACTTCTTTCTGTTTGTCATTTCACAGCAGAATAACTAAAATAATGCCAGTGATGTTCAAAATTATTACGTTGATAGATTGTCGTCCTATTTGATACCTTGGACTCTCTCTGGCCTTTCAATAAAATAAAAATAAAATGCTAATATTGTGGCTTCTTCGACAAAATGTGGCACTAGCTGGTCGTCGGCGTCGCTTCCTCTGGATCGGTAGTATCCATTGGTGTCGGCTCGCTAGTTTTATCCGCAACATTTGTTTCATCGGGAGAAGCTGAGCTTGTGGTTGCGGCCGCGGCTGCAGCAGCAGCTGCTGCTTCCTTGGCCTTTTCATATTTGTTGACCTCTGAAAATGAAGAGTGAAAGCGTTAGTTTTCTAGAATGATCATTTACACTACAGTTTCCATAAAAAGAAAGCAGCTTAAACTTGCTCCAACAAAACTGAATAACCTATGAGTTTTTTCAAATTTTACCACATTTACGATTTTTGATTCCGTATGATATGATATGATCGTATTGGGAAACAGAGATGTCTTGTTATAATTATGGTTCAGTCTATAATTTTTTCGCCTTTTATAACCATATTGTTAAAGCTTTATTGGCCTGTTACTTTATTCCCGAGTTTCTATATTCAAAAGTCTGTGAGACCTTCCCCAACAGGTTTTTAAAAAATTTGTTTCTTAATTTTTTTTTATAATTCTTTATATTTGTTAATATTGTTATTTAAAAATGTATCTAATTTTTTTGTGCTTTGAATCGACATTTATTGGCCTGTTATTCAATGTCGGAGTTTCTATATTCAAAAGGCTGTCGGTCTTCCCCCAACAAAGTTTCCTTAAAATTTTGTTCATGATTTTTTTAAATTCGTAATTATTTGTTACAATAAAAAATTTATTTCATTTTTTTTTTTTTTTTTTTTTGCTATGATTCAGGGCATATCTGGCTGCCAAATAATCGGATTCGTTATTAGAAATAATTTAGAATTTAGTCTTTGTTCATTCTATACCTTATATACCTATACTCTATACCTATCATGTTGTATTTCTTACATAGATAGATTTGTTTGCGAACAAAGAAAATATGCATATATATGTCCGACTCCCAGGCAGTTTTTATCTCTAAATATGACTTTTTGACACCCTAAACGAACAATACTATAATATAGAATTTGTTAATTACAATAATGTTAATAAGACTGAATATGTGAAGCCCTAATTTAAAAATTGAATAGCATAGATTGAGCCGATTACTTTCATGACAATAAGGTGGATTTTTTGCAGCCCCAATACTTACCGAACTTGCGTAAATCGGCGCCTAGCAAACGTAAAATGTGCACCGTCTCGTCGCTATCCACATAGGCACGCAGGCTGGAGGTGCCACGCCATCCCACCACAAATAAAGTGAAGTTTGGATCGACATACTTCAGAATACAGCTGCCGACGCCTGCAAATACATATGCACATTCAAGTTAGTTAGTGATATAAGGGTTAGGGACAAATACATTTACCGAGTTCCTTGCAGCGCTCCTGCGTGGCCTCTTTCAGCTCGAGCGTAGAGGGGGGTTTCGTTGGATCCGTGCAATTGAGCAGCAGAATGAGATCATCGCGCTGCACCTCAATGCGTCGGCTATTGCCAATGAATGCATTTGTTGTTTGTAAGCCCTCCTGGGCCAGGCGATATGGATGCACTGTATGTCGATTCTCGCAACGTACAAATGCCTTAACTCCCGTGTTAATGATCTTGATGTTATGCTCATTTAGCTGTACCAGATCGCGTATGGCATCGGAGCAATAGTAGACGTTTTTCTTCTTCTCTGTTACGCAACGTGTGAGCAAACAGCGTTCATTGAGTGAATCGTCGAGCTCATAGAACTCTTTCATGCTCTTGTAGTCGGCATCACCTTCAGCGAAGAACACATATGGATCCTCTTTATAGCCGTGAAGGCGTCGCCGTTTGCGCTGAGGCCCCCAAGGTACAGATTTCTCCTCAATAGGCTTACCAGACTCATCCAGCTTAGGTTCCGCCTGTGTCGGTTTTTCCAACAGTTCGCGCACATTGTCTTTCTCAGTTGATAGTTTGCGTCGCTTCTCAATGACGGCAACAAAGAAGCCTCCACTGTCCTGCAAATGCGGCAACACTCGAATGCACTTTTCCAGCCCGATTTGTGCGATCTCCGCCGGCGGTAGTGGAAACATCGTTGGCCGAATGATTGTGTGATACGTTTCAGGCACCTCTTCAAAATTATTGTAAATGGTGTCCACCTCCTTGGTGGCCAACTTCCAGTGAGTCATGCCGGGTTTGAATTTTAGTCCAGGCACCATATGGGCTGCATCAACAAGCTCCAAAGCACCATCCGCATCCTTGATGATGCGTTGCAGCACCGCCTCGTTCTCAATGGGATTCAGCGAGCACGTTGAGTAGACCAGTCGACCGCCCACTTCCAGCATTTCGGCACCACGATACGCAATGCGATACTGCAAGCCGTGCAAATTGTATCCCTGTGCCAAATTCCATTTCATCCATATGTCTGGGTTCTTGCGCAGTGTTCCATCGCCGGAGCAGGGCACATCACACAGTATTTTATCAAACTTAACAATGGATTTGCTGCCATCGGCATTGGTTTGCAACATATTGGGGAAGAAGGTGCTGTCGTGATTTGTAACCAGAAAGCATGGTGAGTTGAGGCGCTTGGCCTGATGCACAAGCATATAGCAGCGATTGTTGTCGACATCGTTAGCCAACACAAAACCAGGCGGTATTTTGTGCACCTCGGGCTCCGAGTGGAGTGCCTCAATAAGTTGTGCCGTCTTCGAACCGGGCGCAGCGCACATATCCAGTACCTTGTCCGTTGGCTTTACATCGAGCACTATAGGCGGTATCATGGATACAGCCTCCTGGCGACTAATGCTACCGGCAGTGGTTTCCACAATTAGAAAATTATGCAGACGGCACAGGGGCTCCGACCGTCTTATATCCTTGCGTGTCAGATGCAACTGATAGGCCATGCCATTGGGATACCAAGGCAGACACAAAGGACGCTGTACCTGCTCCGCGGGCTGCCCATTCAATTCGGCCACAGCACGAACGTATTCAGTGAACAGTTCCGTCTTAATAATGTTCAATAAGGCTTTAGCCTCACCCTTAAAGCCCGTGACACGAAATGTGGTCGGCAAATTCTCCCTTATTGTAGAGAGGAACTGCGTCCATTCCTCCTCGGTAGCACAGATCTGCTGAATATTGTAGTACTTAATAAAAGCTGCATTGTCTCGCGTAATCTCCTGATAGGGCTCGGCGCGGCGATCTGGACCACCGCCACCCTGCAAAGGAATTCATTTATTATTAATTAATTAAATTAACAATGTACAACTCTAACAGTTGCCACTTACGTTTGCACGCTTCTGCCGTTTCCTTGCTGCAAAGGGGTTCTGTTTCTTATCACGACCCATTGTGTTAAATAAGTAATATGCAAGCGCTATGGAAGTTAAGTTGAAAACGTGTTTTTCTTTCGGTTACGACGATACCGTCGAGTATTGTGGTATGATTTGGCCGCCCACTTATGAGGAAAGTGGATATGAATAATGTTGAAACCCTTTTTACTTCACAGAACGGCGCGACGCAACAAAACAGCCGGCAACACGTGTTTGCTAGGGCTGTAAAAAACATCGATTTCTATGAACGTCGGCAATTATCAATCCTCAGGCAAAAATATCGAAAGCTTATGATCTCTAATTTTTCAATGCAATTCAAAAGTAAACTGACTGCAATTGAATGGTGATGGCCTTACTATAAAATTTGAAATTTAATTTATCAATATACAAAATATAAAAATGGCAAAAGTATTCTTTACTTATTGCAAATAAGTATATTGTATTGAACATACTCTCAGAAATACAAAAAAATTTGTACTTTGATAAAATCGATGTTTTGTCGCAAAATATCGGCACACCATCGATTGCGCTTGGCAATACATCGATTGTGTCAAACACCAATGTCTTGTACTTTATTAAAGACCCAGGTGTTGCACAAACTCTGGCCAACAACTCACGAAATATGGTAGCACTAATGGTCTTTTATTATTCATCGACTTACGAAAATCAATCGATTGTTGTCGATTGTGGGACAACTGTAATCGCGCCATTTCCGTAAAGCTCATTCAAATCTTTGAAGGAGAAAACAATACCAAGCCTGATGGCCGAACCAAACCATAATATGGATGATATAGAACGTCTGATGTACTTGGAGGCGCGTGTGCGCTACCAGGACGAAATAAAAAATGTTCAGCGTCAGGTGCAGCAGCATGCACAGAAATGGATTGACAAAAAAATGGAGTACGAAAAAGAGTATGCACGTCTCAGCTCTTTGCTAAAGCATTGCGCTACTCGTCGCGCCCTTGATGCCAAAGGCATCATTGATACAGAACAAGCGTTGAGTACTTCCTCCCACATAGAAGCGATAAGTAGCAAGATCTCCACTGAGAAATGTCCAACAATGTTAGACGAACGGGTTTTGGAGGACTGTAAAGAGCAGTTGTTGCTGGATCATAGAGCCCGCACTTTGCTCACCAAAGAGCAGTGTAACTTGTCCAAGAACCGGGAGACATTGAGGAGTGTGCAAGGTAAATTGGAAAGCGTCGAAAATGTTCTGGAGACTGCCACAATGCAGGGCATAGAACAGTTTGTTGGCGAGTTCCAGCCGCCAGCAACTCCGGACCACGATCAGGCTTAAGGAGAAATTATGGATCTTTGTTCCCTATCGCATATTTATTGTTACAGAATATTTTTTAACATTATTAAATGGCTTATAATTAAACTAAAATATATGTTATGTACATCCTTAATAATTGATATCCTAAAAATCTTACATTAGAGTTAGGAGGCGCGGAAATTGGTTATTTGATTCGAACGTGAACAGGTAACGGCAACTTAAAGATCGCCTCCATTTTGGCGCTGTGGTCAGGACGTGGTAAAAGCGGGCTAAGCGTGTTAGGAGCCAGCTGTGGCTGCTTTGCTGGAGGCATCGCCTAGCCACATTCGATTATTGTGCATTCGTTGATGGTTAATTAGCAACAGCGCCGCAGCGGTTCAAAAGTTCTACGGACACGACCAGAGAAAAATGTTAAAATTAGTAAAAAGATTTGAGTCAAATTTGCATTAATATTAAATATAAAAAAATCGGTGGCGTATTTTCGGGAGCATCAACAAATTACCACTTGGAGCGTTTGGACCAGTCTTTTGGCGTCCAATGCAAGCATTTGGAGTCTATACGAATCTTGCGTTTATCCATGGCGCGTCTATGCTGCTCGATAGTATCACGATTGATGCAGACTATATATTGGCCTTTGTAGTAATTGATGAGGTTTAGATTTTGCAATGTTGAGATCACATCCTCTTTCTTAATCGACGTGCATTCGCATATATCGCTGCAAAAATAAAGCAAAATTCATGTCAAAGGGCGTTAAATTTAAATTTAGATAATTAGATAAGACCATCTCAAGAATTAACTTTGTGTCGAATTCTTGGGAAGTAAGCACAACTTACTTGATGGTTATGGTGGGCTTCTCGCCATCAGTGTTGGGATTCTGACTGATGAATATCTCGAGTATGGTTTGTGCCCAATATGAGCGATACGAAAGCAAGCCCAAATCAGATAATGGCTTCTCTGGCGAGCCCGTCTTTCCCTCAAACTTGGACAACTCATAGCTAAACTCGATGAGTAGTTTGCCATAGCCCTTGCGCTGATAAGGCGGCATAGTCAATATACAGGCTACATTGTAGTCCTCGGTGCTTTCTTTCTCCTTTGAAAAGTAACCAACAATGTGAAAGCCACGGGAATCAAATTCGGTCATCACGTAGAACAGAAACGGATCTGTGTCATAATATAGCGTCTTATGATCGAGAAATAACTTAGCCAGTAGGCACAAGTTCTGCGCATACACCTTGTTCTTACGTCCGTCAATTTCAAAGAAGGATATGGTGTGCTTGCGATAGATCTCATTGCCGGGCGGATGGCGTAAATTACATTTCGACAAATGACGTTCCAGGCACTTGCGACTCTTACGATACTTGAGGCAGAACTCACAAATGTAAATACAAGGCATTTGGCATAGCTCCTAAAATGTAATTAAGTGGATTAATACAGTGTGCTTGAAGGGATATCGGATTGCTTACTTGTGGATACGGTGAGAAGTACCAAGGCTTAATGCGGTGTCGGCCCAATTCGATCATCTCGACATTCTTCATACGAGTCACCACATCATCCTGATGTGTGACCATGCTGCCCGATTGCCGTGGCGTTGGTATCTTACCATCCTGGGAGCCATCCTCGTTCGCAGTTACAGATGTAAGTATGCCATCACCTGTCACGTGCACAGTAGCTCCTTGCTGATGCTGTTGCTGGGGCTGCTGTTGCTGATGCAGATGATGAGTATTGGAAGCGTTATGAACCTTGCGTTTTCGATTGATGCGCTTTTGCAGCGCCGCAGCGAGCACATTGTTGCCGTTTACGAGTTCACCGCCAACAACAATACCGCCACCGACGCTATTACCACCAGCGTTGGAGCCGCCACCGCCACCACCGCTTCCAGTGTGCTGAGGCGACGTTGGCCGAGAAACACTGCCGGCTAGCGAATGATGGCGCTTCGGTGTAGTCACGCCTGTACTGGTGCCTGTTTGTGGACCGTCACGGCGCGGGAATTGTACTTTGCGTGTGTCCAGGTCCTCCTCGTTGACCCATTCATCAAGTCGTTTGTTAACTGTAAGACAGAAGATATTTCAGTTGCAACGGATTGGCATGAAAGGAGCACATCCACTTACAGTCCACATAGTGCACATAAAACTGCCGCCTGCCATCCAATTCCTTGATGCTGACAATCTCCGCTAGTGGCCAGTCATCGGTCTTGTGCATACGCACGGACAAGCGGCATCCCTCGGTCAATGCACCCTGAAAAATTGAAGTTAGTTTAAAGCTGTACATAATCTTTGAGCTGCTAAAAGCTAAACTAAAACTTCGTATTAAAACGAGGCTCGCTATGGGCAACGTGCTGCCAGCTTTGGCGCTCCATGTACCTCAATGTGCCATATCTCCGAAAGAGGCGCCAACAGCTATTGTTTACATTGCGCATCAAATTCGTACTTACTGTTGATTCACATATCGATGCAACATCATCGTCGAACTCATATTTGTGGTTAATTTTCATTTGTTTATATTGTAACTTGGCTAGTTTTTAGAATTTACGTGAACACAAGGGATGCATTGGTCTTATCGATAATTTTTAGGGCTTGCATTGATATCGATTTGGGACTTGACTTTTAAGAATCGATTGTGCAGGACATCGGGGCATGCTGTTCTTACATCCCTAATTGACACCGCAAGTATATAACTCGGATTTTTCATATGTACATTGCGGAATTCGTAATTAAATAAACAATACTATAGTGCAATAATAACATTTATGCATTAATAATATCAGCGGTAGCGATATACTAATTTAAGTGATTAAAACAACAGGAAAAGCTAGTGCTAATGTGATGTGCGCATACACTCATATGTGTCAGTGTATGTGTTCATTTTAATGTGTAAGAGAAGGTCAGAAAAATGTACACAATTTAAATGTATGTAGCAACATAGTATGTACGCATATATATACATACATATGTACGCGATTCGTGAACATGTATGTATGTACGTGTGTGAGTGCACGTTTGGTTGAACCTACGCGACTATGGCTAAACTCGGGCATAATGAAAAACAAATGAAAACTGCATAGTAAGCTTTATTATTACATACATATGTATAGCTAAAAGCTTATACGTATACATGTATTGGCGCATATATGCCGTGTATCACAGAATTACAACAAGAAAAGTATAGCGAAATGACGTGTGTGCTATAGAGTTGCCACTAATAGCAGCGGTGCCAACTCGTCTGCATTAATTAGTGAATTTAAGTCTGTTTGTTGTGCGTGCGCCACTAATGAAATTAGCTAATTACCTAGCTGCTGTAATCATTATTAGTGCTATTTGCCAAAATGCCACAATTTTCCTTGGCTATACAGCCATCAACTGGATGCACTTTAAAATGACATCACACCAATATAAATGAAGGCGCCAACTGGCAACGCTATGCCTTTAGCATAGTCAATTTGCAGTGCAGTGGCAGCACTACTTGATATGGTAAAAGCAAAAAAAAAATTATACTTTCGTAGAATGAAATAAGATGTGCTTTGCACAACGGCCATAAAAAACAATTTAACAACTTAAACTGCCTAGACAAGTGCTAACCATTTAGCAGCTGAAACTAACGTATCACTTAGTTGTGCATTTAAAACGATCGTATCGTATATGGAAAAAGTGCATTGGCGAAAAATCAACAACTACAAGTGTAGCAGAAGTGACACCAACAGCAAAAGCAACAACTAAAACTATCGCGTACAGAAATGTGGGCAATGGCAACACAATTTTCGCAGCACGCACATTTTTGTTGGCATTAATTGCGGTGACAGCATTAGGCATCTTATGCAGCCATCAATACGGGCAACAGTAATTATTCATTTATATATGAAAGCAGCTAAAACGCAAAAATAAACAAAAAGCAAAGCCCGTGTCCGCAACCGTTTGCCCGTGTAAACTCGCTTCTGTGTTAGTGTATAGAAGGTATATATGGATATTCATTACCTTTATATATATATATGAACATATATATGTATATACATATGTAAAATTCTGCCAGACCAAACAACAGTTAGTGAGTGAAGGCGAAAAGAGCGGTCGCCGTAAAGAAAGCAAAAATCAAAAGGAGTGGCGCAACAAGAGGGCAAGGCAAAGCAATACGCAATACATTTTTTGTTTGTTGCCTGGCAGCGCGTCGTCCAGCTTTCAAATTGTGGGGACGGAGTCTATCAACGGTAACTACCCAACGAAAATCCACGACATCCACAAATTCCACGAGAGCTAGGTGGGTGCCGTTCGTGCGTCTGGCGGCGGCCAGGACGACGACGAGGACGAGGAGGACGGCAATAGGGAGCTGGCTATTGATTGTGTGGTGAGCATAAACACTTCATTCATATTGGGACACGTGCGTCTGTTCGTTCGTACAACCCATCCTAAATATAGCCATTTGAACATTTTTCACAGGTTTTCAACTGTAACTGAATCAAGAAACAACTAGCATCACCATCAGCATCATCGTCAGCAACAATATCGTCATCGCTACACAATCAGCGCGCGCCGGCCAGCGACGCTTGTGTAATTTGAATGGCATTTGTTTATTATTGTTGTTGTTTGTTACATGCCACAAAAGATGAACAATGAACAGATTGATACACCATCTTTGTCATCCGCAACCACCATCATCAGCAATAATACTGCATCTGCATCGACGTCAGCAGCAGCAGCAGCAGCACCAACAGCTGGGGACGCGACGGCTGGGCAACAACAACAACAGCGCATAAAAGCTATATCGACAAGCTTAAACGCTTCTGGCATATTGACAACAACAAAAATACCACCCATCATACCCGATACGCCCATAGTTTCAATAGCTGCTGGTACTCTTAGCGAGAGCACCACCACAACAACATCAACCAAGACCACTCCGACGCCCTATTCGCAGGAGCTGCGCACCACTTTAATGTCGCATGTGGTGAAGTGGCAACAGAAGCAGCAGCAACAACAGCAGCAACAAAAACAGCAGCTACCTACAACAGAACCTGCCAAGTCCAACGCGACGACTATAATGTCAAGTGCCGCCAATTCAGCTCAAGCTGATGAGACTGCGGCAACGGCAACAACAACTGCGACGCACACAACAATAAACATTGAACTGACCAATTGCCCAGCATCAGGTGTTAACCAAAACCATGTAGCTTGTGATACGAAAGTTGATAGCAATAATGCTGGACATTCGAACGATGACAAGCCCACAACATCGGCAGTTGCGCTGGCCGCAAAGAGCTCGTCTGAGCCAACAACTACATCATCATCCTCCTCCTCCATCACCACTACAACCGCGACATGCACATCGAAGCCGAGCCTCACAGATCATGACATCAGATTGTTAGCGATGGAGATGGAGAAACAAGTGCCAGCGCCCTCCTTTTCCTCCTCAACGACGCTGTGTCGAGGTGCAACCACAAAAGGTAAAACCCAAGATGACCAGAATGTGGGCAAGCGTCAGAAGAAGAAAAAGGTGAGTAGAAGCGACCTAAGACCATTGCATGTCCCAACTATTGAACCTATACGAGAAAATCCAGACGAAAACCTACGATAATGAGAACTAAAAAAACGACAACTATTGAGCTTTTAGAGACTATACCTTTCAGACAATACCTGGCCTTCATCGAATGATTTCAAATTGTGGTTAGCCACTTATTAGATTATGCATGCGCTTATACATAAGCATGTACATATGCCGATTACTTGTAATGTAGTTCATTTTGTCATTCTAATTCATATCTCCACCTAATTTTTCTTTTACAATGGGCTTTATTGGTTTTACATGTAATAGCTTATAGTATTTATACATAATTACATACATACATATGTATGTATATATGTAATTATATTTTGATCAAACATAATGCATATAATGCACAATATAGATGTTTACACGCACATATTTGCACATATTTTTAGGGACACCCACGCATATAGGTTGTAGTTTTGAACAATTATTGTACATTTTTCCTTTCTGTTCGAACTTATCGCTTTCAAGTCATGCATTAGGACTTTGGTGTTTGTATACTCGCACACATTCACGCACGCACTTATATACATACATCTGTATGTTTGCTTGTAATTACATACATACATATGTATATGGGTATGAATTTGTTCCATATAATGTGCTTGTTGCAGTTATATGAAAATAAATGGACATATTCATACAAACGTGCATGCACATTTGTACATATGTACATATGTAAATACATATGTATGTATGTATGTATGTAAATAGACATATGTATGTATGTACCTATTCCAGTCCATAAAAGCTGATTATGACATTTAATGATGAAAACTCACTGCAAAGACTATCTCTATCTACATACATATGTACATATGTATGTAGATCTCTAATCTGTTTTTTAAGTTTATTTATTATACTCTGTACCAGAAGGGCGCAAATGTATACTAGAATGTCGAGCCACCAAGTCTATATAATAGGCAGAAGAAGGCGTGGCAGACCCCATCTTATATAGGTACATGTACATATTTATATGATCAGCATGACGAAACGAATCGATATAGACGTCAGTCGTCCGACCGTACAAACACCGAGAATTTTTGAAAACCCTAACTGCTAGGGATATCGATACCCAAACCAAGTTTATTACAAACCTCATCTTTTTATATAGTGCCATAGGACCCATCGGGTTCAACTTTAATCTTAGTATAATTACTTTTATATTTATGAAGTTTTCTTGATGTCGGTGGTATAGTATATATAGCTGACATAGGAACGATCGTTGGAAAACTTGTTTCTCTATTACGATAGCGTAACAAAAAAATTTATTTATTTGTTTGCTATGGTGCCGCACCATAATCGGTGCAATAAACCATATATGTATAAGCCATAAAAACGATTCGTGCAACAACGTTTTTGCTTCAACGACTGGTGATAGAGAATAGAGAGAGGGGGGAGGGAAGGTACAGGGTTAACAAGAGTCGAGGTGGCAAGAGTTTAAAGTTTAACCCGCTTTAGTTTTGTTTTATATTGTTTTACCAACGTACTTATTAATTTACAAACATTCTAGTACACCCTTTTGTCTGGAGTGGAAAGTACTCATGTTCCGAGAGTTGGCAACGCTGATTTAAAGGGTTTAAAATTTTTAATATATTCAATAATCTTTAAATACTATAATTTTTATAAGAAAGATTAGTATTAGTATTTATATAATACAAAAAAAAAGTGTTTTTAGTTGATATTTTTTTTACTTTGCTCGGATATGTTTGCATTTCTATTTTTCTTTTATATATTAACTCATCAAATAGTTTCATAATAAAAACATGCTCTATGCCTGTCGATACCTTTATGAATTTATGAAGTATGCGTCAATTTTTCATATAATTGCAAATCAGGCCGTTGTTACTTATCTGCATTATTATCCAACAAAACATAATATACATACATATGTAAGTATGTATATAAATAATATCACGTGTAATTCTTATCAATTGCCTTGCGACCGCAATTATTTTTTTCTGAATATTTAAAATATTCTAGAACGATTGTGGTTTTTATTGCGCTTGTTGCGTGGAAAAAAAGAATTGCAAATATGGAGAGTTGTTGAGAACGTGACACAAATATCGCAATCCTCAGGCTGTTGTTGCTCATCTCTAAAGAACAACAACAGCTTCAATAAATGCCGAATAGCTTGATCGCTTTGTTCGTCAGCTGTAGAGAAGGTGTCGGTGGCGGGTCTATCGGTCGGAGGGGTGTCATCTGTACTTGTTCACGCCTTTTGTGACATCGACACAAATATGCGTGCCATTCGTTACGTATCGTTATTCTCTCTTCCCTGTTTCTCTCTCTGATCTATTGGCTCTCCGGAAAAGTGCCGTTAAATTGCTATTGCAAAAAAAAAGATGCCAAACACAGAGTCATTGCAGTTTATATTTTCTGAGAAAGGCCTGCCGCGCTAGAAATGTTGGAGACCCAGAAAGTGAAACCAACAAAAAGAGTGTGCAGAAATATTAACTAAACTAACGGATCGAAAAATTAAACTAAAGTTTGCAGAGTTAGTGGGAGTCGATAGAAGCTTTGTACTGCACGCATCAGCAGCTAAATTTTGAACGCATGCTTTTTGAATAGCATTTTCGGGCTTCTTTTTTTTACACTTTTATTTTCGTTTACTTGCCGCAAAAACCAAACCGCATTTATGTAGTTTATCAGTATTGTTATTGTTTTTGGTGGCTACTGTTTTTTTACATGCTTGTGTATAGACTTTCTTTAAATTAAACATTTAGTAAAGAAGGCACTGCCATAACGAACGCAAGACACTCATTGGTGCATAAAGAATTTTTTTTAGAAAAACGCAGGACGTGTAGGGACGGACGATATTGTTTGTTATATATTTGTGAGGTTAAGTACGAATCGTTGGTGTGTGTAAGTATGTGTGCGCTTATATGTACATATGTATACGTCTGCATGGATTTCTTTTTGGTGGACGACTTGTCCGGCAGTCATTTCATGCAACAAACATCCTAATAAATCTTACAGACAAAGTACGATGCTTGGGAAGATAGTGATTTTAATGATCTCGATGATGCTTCATTGAAAAAACTACTTGAGGAGGCCTATTGGTATCGCAATCCTGGTGACAAAAAAAACAAAAGCCCGCGGTTTCTGGTAAGTTCCAAGTATACTTGTATATGCATATACATATATCCTAACTTTACAAATGCATTGATAATTACAGCAAATGCTCGAAAAGGCTGAGTACGACGAAGAGAACTCTTATCGTGCCCTTAAGACCTCATTAACACGCAACACGTCCATATCATCAACGTCCAGTGGCTACTACAGTCATAACAGCAGCAGTAACTTTGGCAACACGATCACAGCGCACATTAGCAACAGCAACACCTATCATATGAATCATCGCTCGGCAGCCTCGCAGCGTCACAAACAGGGCGGCTCATTGCAGGATCTTGTTGAGGCGGTGCATCGTAGCGAGCGCGCCACAACTTCGGCGGCAGCCGCGGCTGCAAGACAACACTTAAACTGGGATCATCAATTGGGCGCCGGGAGCAGCAACGTCCGAGGCAATCGTCGCCAGCAGCAACAACAGCACAACCAAAACGCCGGCATGACCGGCAAAAAGATCAAGAACTCATCAGTATCGGCACGACAGCGTGAGGGCGGCAGTCTGCCCTCCAGTGTTAATTTCTCTTCTGAAGCATCTACCGCTTCGGATGCTAAACTGAAAGCTGTCCTCACCGATCAGCAGCCATCAACATCAACAGCGGCAACGGCACCGGCTGGTTCAACTACTGCCGGTGGTGGTGGAAGTGGAGCGAAGAGTAATCGCAGCAGCGTCGGCAGCTGCAGCAGTCTGCCCAGCCAGCTGAGTAGTGAGGTGGGCGCCACACAATTCGATATGGACGATGATGATGCTTGCGTTGCCCTGACTATATTCCAACAGGATCAATCGGCGATGGAGGTAAGCGATGGCCAATCGCGGTCACTGATACTGAATTTGTGCGACACACCGTTGGAGATGATAGCAAAGGATAATGAACCCTGGGATTTGGTGGTAAGGCGCCCAAGTGGCAAAGCCGGCATATCTTCAAGTTTTAAATGAAGAAAACAACTTGATTCTATCGGCACCCGTGCCCACAGATCCTATCCCCCCAAAACAGACAAAAACACACACAATATTAACAATTTTATGATTTATGCGTCGACAAAAAAAAAAAAAAAGATCAACTAATGAATTACATACCAACTACTCCCCAGCCTAAAAAATGACTTTTTTTTTTAATATTTCATTGCAAGATTTGTTTTGGAAAAAGAGTCCGTTGAACCTTTAGGAATAATTTCATTTATACATATCCGCTTAATATTTCTTCTATTTACACAAAACACAACACATTACATCAATATTCAATACTCCCAACCATTCTCGCATTTATAGAAAATCATATTGAAATTCTCTTCTCGTAGAACACCGCAAAAATGTACTCTCTAAAGATATTAGCAGAAATAGCCCTTTAAAGTCTTGGTAATACACGTTAACGTTGTCACTAACACTCTTCATGGTTAACGATAGATTTGTCATTTTGAGAATTGGTAAATTAGTTGGATTTGTAAGAGCGGGTCCTAATGGGTTCTAAGTTTTACATTTACATTTAATAGCACTATGTTACTTTCCATGTATATACATATATAAATCAGACTCTGGACTTCTTTAGTGGGCTAAAAAAAAAAAAAGAAAAGAAAAATATAAGGGATCGTCGGTAGATTCTCCATTTAAATAACACAATTATGACGATATCATCAATTATTTCTTCTTCCATAGTGATTAACCTGTTATTCCCATTTCCATTGTTTTTAGCCAATGGAGGAGCTGCGCACGACAAATATAACTTCAAACCCGTGCTCAAAAATATTTGATAGTTTTCACAATCAACAGCAGCCTGTACAACAACAGCAACAACAACATCAGCAGCAACAGCAACAACAACAAGCGCAAGGCCTAAACAAAGATGGTGGCCCCGTTATTAAAAAGTTCCTAATTGATGACCCGCTCCAATTCTCTGTCTTGGAGCGGGCTGCCAAGACCCAACATCAAATGCTTCCGGTTCCATTTGTTCTGGCCTCTGCCCTCAATATTGAGCCGAATCGGAAACTGGAAACCGGATACGTTTCGCTCAATGACAGCTACACGGCCTGTTCCTCGGTCTATGGTGGTGGCGGAATGGGTGCTGCCGCTGCCTGTAGCTCTGCTAGCGGTGCTAGCGGCGGCGATGTAACCATTGATAGCTACAAATCTTCAAACAGTCAACAGGCTACTGCTGGTAATAGCAGCGGCACCGAAGTCCTAAAGCTTAGTCGCATATCGGGCACAACAACATCGGCACAAGGTGCCAAGGCCACTACGGTGAGTGCTGAATAATAATAGAAGAGAACCCCTACATACATACATATTTATTTACGAAAAATTGTGTTCTCATTATCATCATCTTAAGTCTCTGTCTACTGTTGCTGCAGTCGTAGACATAATTAGGATTTCGATGAATATTTCGTTACGAAAAGCTTCATCTTCTTACGTTCTTAAGGATTCAGAAAACTGCAAGATGTCATGTTACAGTTCTTACTTGTGCCTGAGAAGGTGTAGTGGTATTATGCTTGTTTATTTGTATATTTTCTCCGCCATTTCCTAAACTCAATTTATGGCCCCTTAAATAAGTTGTTGACTGAAAGGTTCAGTGATGTTCGATGGGCGTTTCATTGCATGTCCTTTGTGGTCAGGTAATCCACTCTACCACAGGAGTGTTTTACAAGATCATTAATTTGATGGCAAAAAACATTACTCAACCGGTCCTGGGAAGATTTGGAGTTGTTGTCCCCATTTAACTGTAGTTCAAATTAATAACCATTTGTCTTCTTTCTCTCTTCATTTGATTCAGCGCCAACTGGATGAGAATGGGAACGCATTAAGTGATGGATACGCTGGTGCAGGAAATGGCAGCTCAACCAGTAATAACAACAGCGGTGGTGGTGGCGGCAACAATCAATTCACCGCACTCATAACCACAGTCGGCGGTGGTGGTGCCACCACACAGAGCTCATCATCGGCTGTGGTGGCACAGCGTCAGAACAGCGTCTCCACCATACTCTCAACAGGCACCTCAACCACTACAACGGCAATGGCTGCTGCTGCAGTTGCCGCTGGCTTGGGCAGTCTCGGTAGCACCGCCTCGGCGCAACCCGCTAAAATAAAGGCCAAGAAGAAATCACAGCAGGAACGCAACACCACCACCGTCGATGTAAAGTCTGTGGCCGGCTATCGTGGCATGGATCCTGTCGAGCAACTCGTCAAGTATATCGAGAACGATGAGAAAATGAACGCTGCGCAGCAACAGAAGAAGAAGGAGCGCAAGAAGCAAAACAAATTGAAGAAATGCAATTCGTTGGAGGAGCTGCGTAGCTGTGCCAAAATGGAGGTGGACGAGCTAAAGGATCAGGCGGCTACTACGGATGCAATGATGCGGCAAAAGAAGGGCGCTCAGAGCAAGCACAGCTCGGCCTCTGTGGCGGATATCAATAAAAACTGCAAGGAGCAGCAACAACAAAACCAACAACCACAACAGCAGCCACCACGCAAAGGAGAACGCCGCTCCTGGGGCACAGAGGAATTGCAATACCTGGGCGAGCAGCAGCAAGCGCCAAAGGCGCTGCTGAGCAGCAGTAACAGCAGCAGCAGTATCACAACAGCGACCCCAACGCTCCAACCACCAATGCAGTCGACAGCGGCGATGTCAGCGCCGTCACAGGAGGATCAGTTGATAAGTCGGGGCATGTCCGAAACGGAGCAGATCAACATGGTGATCTCTGAAACAGCCGAGTTTCATGTGGTCACCAAAAAGAAGAAACCAAAGAAGCAGCGTGCCGTCACCATGGATGATGCAGCGGTGGCTGCTGCCGCCCACACTGGCGGCAATTTGCAACGCATGCAACAGATTACCAAATCGGCCTCCTCCAATATGATGTCGCATCGTGGCATGCGCGGTTTGACGCATGGCGGCAACAACGATTACTACGCCAACTACAATTATGGCAACCACTATGCAGCAGCACATGGTGGAGGCAACATCAGCAGTCGCCAGCAAGATCAGCAACACCATCAACAGCATCAGCAGCATCAAGTGAATAGTAGTGCTGGTGGTGGTGGCGCCTCTGCAACCACCACAGCACAGGATAGCTCCAGACGCAAGTCGACATCGTCGATGCCGCCCTCGGAGAAATCCGAATCCAGTGATCTCGACTCTGTACACTCGCTACCCATACAGACGGGCAAGAAGAAGGGCAATAAGCAGCGTGTCGCTCAAGGGGCGGCACAGCGTCAGGCCAAGCACAGAAATAACAGCAGTGGAGGCAGCGGCGTCAGCAGCAAGAACCACAGCAACAACAACAACAACACATCACCTGCTGCGCCAATTTCCTATGCGGATATTGCGCGCAATAAACAGGAAGCTGCCGCTGCTGCTACAGGCACCAACGATGATGCAACGGAAGCGAACGAAACAAACGCCCCCACATTGGCAGCAACAACGACAACAGGGGCAACAACAATGGCCAGTATTGCTACACAGGTCGAGCCACAGTCTCAGGTGGCGGCAGGCACACAAACCACAATGTTGTCCAAAACTAAGGTCAAGTCTAAACTGCGACCTGATTTCCCCGAGCTAATGCCCAGCTATGCTCATGGAAATAGCAGCAACAACAATAATACCAGCAGCAGCGCACCAACGTTAATAAATGCTGGCACAACGGCCGCCATTAGCTATTCGCAAAGCTTAAATTCAACGCCACCCTTTAGCAGCAATAACAACAACAGCAACAATAATAACAGTTGCCAGAGTGATGCATTGGAAAGTACATTAACATCGTCGCCAGAAGAGGGACCCACAGCGGTGGTCACACCACCAACATTTGCCTCAGCAGCCGTCTCGCCGTCGTCCTCAACGCCGCCGTCCTTGCAAAAGTCCAAGAGCGTGGAGCACGATGCCAGCTATAGCTTTAATAGTAGCAACCTGGACCAACAATATCCGGCATTGGAGAAGACGGTGAAGCGGCATAGTGTCAACAATGTATCGCTAACAGCAGCAACAGCGACCGCCTCTCCTAGTACTGTGCTGCCCTTTAATTTTGCAGCTGCGGCCAAGCAGCAGTTGCAGCAACAAGCGGACAATAAATTGTCCAGCAGCAATGCAACAACAATAGCGGAAGCGACAACAGCAGCCACAGCCACATCCGCATCCGCAACTTCAATAACAACAGCAACAGCAACACCGTCTACCTCAGGCAAGACCAAGTCGAAACCAAAAGAGCAATCGCCCACAAGCAGCAGTAACAACAGTAAAAAGGATAAGGATAAATCGGGCAAGCAGAGTCAAACAGAAGGCGTTGTCAGCTTTACGGTTGCCTTGGCAACAGGCACTGCCTCAGTGGTTACGCTTAAGAGCACCACAGCCACCCAAACCGATGGCAAAAAGATGACCAGTGGCATACACAAATTGCCAGGCAAGCAGAGCTTAGCTTCTGGTAGCGCTGGCAGCGGAAGCGGTAGCGGCAATGGCGGTGCCAACATCATCGGTGGCAGTGCGGCGGGTCGTCCAGCCGTCATTATACTCAATGATGATCGTGATGCCGAGCTGGATAGCTTGAATAATGAATTCATATTCGGCGACTTCAACGAGGATGAGCTGAAATTGTTTGATGACGAGGCCATACAGCCCGAGAAGGAAGCCGGCAAAGATGAGGACAGCAAGAAGGCAACAAAAGATGCCAAAGATGCGAACAACAGTAGTGTGACGGATGTCAACAGCAACAATAATGCTGTCAGTGATGGCAACTCACAGATGCTACTTAATGATTCCGGTGCCGCATCGGATGTGGTAAATAGCTCAGCGTGCATGGACATGCTATTGATCTCTGGCGGCGAGGTTGCCCAATCCTCGCCAAATACATCAGCCATCGATGCTAGTCAGCCGTCACTAACAGCCGAGACATCACACTTAATAACAGATGGATTGGTGACATGCGTCAGCTCCTCCTCGCATCCGGCATCAACATCCACCGAATCGGCGGCATTATCTTCAACCGCATCCTCGTCAACCTCATCGTCCTCGTCTACTTTAAGTAGCAGTGTGGCGAATGTGGCAAATCAGTCCAGTGATAGCGGCATCTATGGTGGTGCAGTAAACACATCGCCCAACGCCGTTAAGGAGGAGGTGAACAGTTTTCTTAACCAGGCCAAAACCACCACCAACAGCAGCAGCACAATCAGCAACAACAACAACAACACCAATGAATGTGATGAACCCGTCGCTAAGCAACAGCTCGAGACTTGCAACGATATTGAGATGGCCATTATTGCTGCCGCACGTGCAGCTGCAGCCGAAAAGGAGCAGTTACAGCAGCAGCAACTGAAACAACAACAACAACAACAACAACAACAACAGCCACGACAACATCAGGAAAATGACAGTAAAGCTGCTAATTTCCACAGCAACAACAATAATAATGTGGAACGCACCCGAAGCCGCAGCAGCTCTGTGGAGCAATCAAAGCGAAATTTCAAGCCCTTGCACTCATACTTTATGTACAACAATAATAACAACAATAACAATAATATTAGTACACCCGCTGTTGACGGCCCCATAGTTGATCTCAAGCCATTAGAAATTGCCAACGCAACTAATGACTGCGATTATTTGTCCGATGTACAATCCGAAGCAAGCCTGCAGCGCCAATCATTGATGTCTAACACGGAGTTAATTGTGGAGTACATAGCTAGCAGTGAGTATTCCTGTTTTGATAACTGAATCATCCAGATTTCTAGATTCACAATTATATATGTATATTATTGCACTTTACATTGACGGGTACCATATATACGTATAGGCGTAGAATTTAGAAGGGTTTTGCATTCTACAAAACAATTGTGATTTCTTTTAGTATTATATTGAGACATGCAGGAAGCCAAACCACAGTTCTTGCTGCTTCTCGTATTAATTCCAGGATTACTTATTGATACTCATGATTGGGGGATCTACAGAGATTACAGAGCTTGATGATATCCATCCAATGTAATCTTCCGAAAATGGAATGCGTTTGGGCGCCTTCGTATTGGACACATACCCGGCTCCACCTCGTATTCTTATTCCCCTAGACTCTCGGCAGATCAAGTTTGTGTAGTGAAGCTATGAAGCTTCCGTAATTCTTGAAATTTTTACCCATTTACATGCAGTCATAGATACAGTGGACAAAAAAAGTTTGAGTACACTTTGGTTTTTAAAGAATATTCCATTAAATTAGTAAATTTTCGAAAAAAATAAACCCAAAGTCTTTTGATTATGATTGGTTTTATATTTATTAACACAACAGCACTTTTCAAATACTTCTCGGATCTAAAAATAAGTAAATATGATTGAAAATTCACGCCAAAGAACGTTTTATCGTAGCAATTACAGTTGTAAGCGTAGAGGCATACTTTTCATTGAAACATGGGTGTCATATTCGCAATTTTCCTCCGACTTATTCGATAATATTTTCTAATAGTAATGACAAATGATTGCTAAATATGTCATTAATCTCTCTCTCTCTCTCTCTGTTCACAGCATGGAATGCTATAATCCAGAGCAAGTATGTGACGTTTTACAGCGAACAGGATCAGCAAACTTAAGGTCCGTGTCCAAGGAACATAATAGGACTCTACTACTGTGTAATGGAAATAAATTTGAGCACTATCCTCGTCGTTTTGTGCTGAGCCTGAGAGCGTCGGAGTTTGTTTGCAGCATTATATTATTAACACACGTTACACACAATCATACACACACACACACACACACCAACAGCTTGGAGATGCTGTGTTATTATTTAACAAAATTCATCGATTCATTTAACAATTTATATATATTTTTATTTGATTTAGTTACTATCATTATTTCTATTTGAATTTTTTCTCTATGCAAACAACTTGTGCTGGCCATTTAATTTTGCTATAACAAAACGCTTGTAAGCTAATTAGCTAGTTACAAAAAAGAAGGAAAGGAAAATAAAAACGAAAAGAAAAAAAGCAAGAAAGATAAAGGAATACCAACATTAAACAATAAGTACTATTACTATTAAATATTAATTTATATATGAACCCTGAAACTAGCGTTTAAGTGAGTGTTGCAAGATGTGATGTCGCATGGCACATATGACATACATTTCTGAGCTTAATACAAATTTGAATATACATATATATATATACATACATATACATAAATTGAAACAAACACACACACGATAATCATATGATTATATCGCTCCTGCAAGGGTTCCTTAATTAGCACAACACTTCGATATTCAAATCAAACAATGTCCAGCAAGTTGAAGAAACAATGTATTGTATTTTGCATGTATTTGTTTTTTTTTTTTTTTTTTTTTTTGAAAGAAAGTCATGTCATGTGGAGCTTGTGATGCGAAAGTTGATAACAAGTCGATCAACATCCATGGAGTTGTACAGTTGATTTGTGAATAAAAATAAAATCTTAAATATATACAGCGCTAAGAGAGTAAAGGAAAATATTAGCGTCACTAATGAAAGCAAACTATTTATTAAAGTTTTATTTTAATTTTGTAGCATTTGGAGCTATGATATGAGAGTTAACTTTGTTAACAATACGTATACATACTATATGTATATACTGGTTGGTTAAAGAAACATACTTATTATTATTATTTTGTTATAATGTGTCTAGGCTTAAGTCTTATAAGGTAAATAACAGGAAATCTAGTTGTAAACAATCGACAAGTGGAGTCAACAACAACAACAAATGTATATGTATATAAAAAATAATAGAAAAAGAAGATAAGAAAAACAGACAGACAGAGAGAATAATTTGATAATTTGCAAACCATTTTCTATGTATAATATATTTATAAATAAGAAATGTAACGTTCGTTTTTGTTACGAACAGCCATACACCTAATGATAAAAACAAGTTTGTTGGAAATTTAAACTTAAAAACAAAAACAAAACGCACTTACGAAAATGCCGCCGTTTAGCAAAGAGTTTCATAACTTTTTGCACTGAATATAAACTTAAAAACAAAAAAACAATACAAAAAGAACTTAAGTAAGGCATATATAAATTAACAAATATATATTTAAATATATATATGTATATAAATATATGTGCATATAAATATATATGTATTTATATACATACATATATTTATATACGAATATAAAATTACATAAGTCAAAGCGTAGTAAAAAAAAAAACAAGAGAAATACTACAATACTATTATAATTGAATCAAATCAATTTTTTTGTAATTAAAGAGTAATTTAAAACTAAGTATACTAATTATATCTTAGAATGTCAACGGATTAATGGAATTAAAAAAAAAGAAAAAACAGAACAGCAGTCTAGCCACAAAACTACTAATGGTCAGTTTCTCATCTAGTGTGGGAAACCGGCCCTACATGTTTCAATTTCATGAAATGCTATAAATCCTCCAATAAATGTGTCATTAAAAATCAAAGCACTTGTAAAACAAATTGAATGTGTTGTATTTTAAAAAAAAACATTACTAAATTTATCTAATAAACATAAATATCTGAGTATATAGAGCTACTGTAGTCCAGCCCCCTCGCTCTCCTCTCCCTATACACTAAAAATTCACACAAAACATCAAAAGTTTTTTAAGTTACACTCATATGTCTGTTGAAAAATACGCAAAATTTCTGGCTCCTTTGCAGCTTTATGCTTTTCAATTACTGTTAAACTATAGGCGGACAAAATTATTTTAGTTTTATCCGACATTCAAGCTTAACTCAAATTTTATCGTTTTTTTTTATTTTTATTTTTTTAAAAGAGTTTTGTCTTTCAAGCTCGACAAGAAGATTAATGCTTGCCACACAATTGTTTTATATGTTTTCCGCAAGCCTAAGCGAAAGGCAGCATAAAACTAAGTCTCACTTTCACCCCTCTCATTCTAGGCACCTCTCACACACATCAATCGTGTTGTCTCTTTCGTTTCCATGAATTAGTCATTAAATAGGCAGTTTGCAGCTCAGTGCTATGCAACGTGACTGCTTTCTGCCTAAGTTGTAAGTCCGAAAGCCAAGCTTAGAGATTGTATTTCAAATTATTGAACATACTTATATATTATTATACTTATATATATATATATATATATATATATATATATATATATATATACATATGTATTAATACATGCACTGTCCACATTAATGCAATCAATCAAATCGTACATAAGTTCAACCGGGGCTAGACAAACAATACGATGCAAATATGAAAACTTTGATAAACAAATATAAACTAAATAAAATACCCACTTTTTAGGTATTGAAATAAATACATACTTTCTAAGTCAGCAACAAAAAGTAAACTAAAAACTTTATAAATGAAATACAAATCATTGTAGATAAAAAATTATGAATTTCATATATGTATGTGTTTTATGAGTGTACATAATAAAATAGTTGTATGTTTGTATGTATGTATGTCTAACTGTAAAAATTGTTACATTGAAAATGCTTCTTTTTTTTTGTTTTGTTCCCCAGATTTGTACACAAATCGCTTGATTTGAATTCGTAAAGTATTGGAAAATCACGTGCACAGCACATGTTAAACCTTTAACTTTGTATCCCAAAAACCGTCTGTAACTCAGATTATAATGTAGGACTGTTTTACTATATATATCTATGTATGTATGTAGGTATGTTTGTATTACATTAGCATTTAGAATGTGTGAGTCGAGCTTGGATTAGTGGGTCTTTGTTGGCGGGAATTACCAAAGTTCAGCTGAAAATGACGTACAGACCAAAATTAGCATCGTATCTATTACACACAATATGTATGTATGTACATAGACATACATATGTGAATCTAATTTGTGTTGTGGTTGCGCTCACATTTTAATGTAGCTAGAATTTTTGCAAGGAATAAATTTGTACATATGTATGTATGTATGCATGTATGTATTTAAGGAATAACGGATATTACCAGTCTTGGATAGAAGGAGCAGAATCTTACTTTACGAATACAAATTCCCCTTTTCATAGCATAATTCATATCAATATTTAGTAAAAGTATTTAAAATACTTCATTTATCTTCAAAAACATTCAAATAATTGGCAAATGTTCTTAATTCTCAATTAAACATGTTTAATAAAATTAGAATTCCCCAATTTAGAGTAATTTAAATGAAGCAATCAATTATTATTAGGATTGGTAATGTTCTCAATTTCAATGCATGTTAAAGTTTTTTGGAATCCTTCAAATTAATGGTAAATGCCTCGTTCATCATAAACTTCCAATTTTTCAAAGCTATAAAGCACAGCTTTTTCAGTATCATTAATATTATATTAAATAATAAATAATATATATTAAATATTTAACTTTAATCAGGCAACTCAATTTTGAATAAATTTATCCAAACTTGATCATAAAATCGTAAATGTTCGCAATTCCGCATACAGTTCTAGTTTTGTTCATAATCAAAAACTGCAAATTGCAATTCGAAGTATGTGTTCATATACAATAGAATTCAGAAATAGGAACAGATTTGATAATAATTTCAAGCACATCATTTATAACACGTTAGAACTTCTAGATTGGTTCAACACTAGGTCTGTTTCCGTTTCGAAATTCGAAACAAAATTGGTAACTTATTTTCAAAAAACGACTTATGTATTGAATGAAATTTAAAAGCTTTGTTCTAGCGTTTTCTTGAACCAAATAATTCAATCACTATTTAAGTTTTGGTCCCGAAACTTGGATCTTACTAGTATTATGCAGCAACAAAAACTCGACTTGACTTTATGGACATTTTTCAATATCATCATTGCTCGTAAATTTATTGAGATCATTTAAAATTTAATTTGTTTAAATTTTCTCTATAACAATTAAAATAATGACTATCAAAGTTTTGGGCACCTTGACACTTAAAAATTATGAACAACAAAAATGCTTAACAACTACTGTTCTTGTAAAAGTAACTTTAGAGCCTTTTCCAATCGATTTCTGCAAATAATGTGAGTTATGCTCACAAATTTAATTTTTCCAGGTAATCCATTTAAAATCAAACTAAAATGGTAATATTTCGGAAAGTAGAGAAGTTTCTTTCGTACTTGGTATATGCAGCGAATGTTTGTGCAAATTATTTGCCTATCTGACCACCTTTTGGTAGATAGCTTTAGATTGCGCTCATGATTTCCAAGATCGGCAATGCGCCTTATTGTAGCTTTTAATCACAATTTCCGTCTGTTGGGCACTGCTTGGTTCTGGTTAGATGAAAAGAAACCATGGTTATGGGATAACAATTAATAGCTAAAGGAAAGCAACATTAAATAACTATGAAATCTAAATATATAAATGCGTGGCTGAGTGAGTGAGTGAAAGTATTTATACATATGTACATATGTATAAGGATGTGGTGTTAATTAAAACTGAACTTTATATGAATGTATACTTCTATATGTAATACCTACCAACTAATGTACTAAACCTACTATGCATATATATTGATATTACTTATATTTTATTTATACATACATACCAATATTTGTACATGCAAAAAGGTTTAGGTTGTCCGGATCCGATCCTTTTGCTCTCGGTTAGCAGTTAATTTTTTTGGCCAAAGGAACCAAGAAATTATTAGCTGACATTAAGAAGCAACGGACTATCCGGACAAGCGAATATTGTAAGGAAACTGAGCAAATACATGAAACAATTATGTGAAAACTAATTAAGTTTAAATTAACACAAAAGGAAAAAAGGAGAAAACAAAAATAAGTGGTTGAATATGTAATACTACCTGGAGATGTGTATTTCAATGAAGAATCGAATAAAAGATGAAAATAACTTGAATATTAGCTACAATTTAATTGTGACTAGTCCCTAAAGCTATGGCCTCAATTATGATTGAATACCAGGTAGCTCTCTAATTCTGGGTATTATCACGCTTCTTGTGGAACTTAGTCAGTGAGTTGACCACAATGTCCATTGCCTCGCCCCGGGAACCGTTCAGCTCCATGAACCGATGGATCAACTGATTCACCCAAATCAAATCGTATGATTTCTTAAGTTTTGCCGGTTCCGGCTTTGCTTGCGCCTTCTGTGACAAAAGCCACATCTCGTGGAGATGACGGTAGTCGTCGATCAGTGAGTTGCGCTCCAGTCCCACAGAAGCAAGCTCTTCGTCACTCAACTCCTCCTCGGTCAGATGATAGATCTCGGCCAGAGCGGCATTGCTCAGCTTGCAGCTTCCCGTGAACTTCAGCTTACGGCTGTTTGTGTCTGTGAAAAAATTCAAAGATATGCAAATATATATGCATGTAATTTGGTTACAATGTGTATTTTTGGTGTGTTTTGCACGCCTTTTGCTTTTAATTCTCACCGTCGGTCATGTTTCTTTCGTTTTAAAACTATCAAGACTGCTTATTTTCGAATATTGTTGCTATTTTTTATTTTTATTTTCCGGTTGAAATTTGGTGCTCTACTGTTTTTGACGTTTGTCTCACCAACACATGTATTATTTAAATACATAAAAGCCCGCTTTTGCGTTCCATATCATAGTGCTTTGGCTTGCGTGCGCGCGTGTCGTGCTTATCGATACGTAGCTGACTCATCGATATATTTTCATAATATTTTGCAGCTCCACAACAGCAAAGTGGACTTACATATATGTATATGTGTGAATATCTTAAAGAATGCAACGTAAAATTTGTGTTCTTGTAATTCTGATTCAATCGTCATTATATGTCTAACGAACATATCTCATCGATGTTTCGATTATAACACTGTCATCGGGTATCATGCATCCCTAATAGACGTAACTTGTTTGTTTTCTTGTTGTTGGTTTTTTTTTTTTATTATTTTTTTAGCGCAGCTTTTTGTCAACACCGATTTTGGATAATTTTAAAGAGTCTGGAGGCGCGCATTTAACTCAACTACACCCGCCATTATGTCTGAAGTCCGCATACGTCCGCGTCAAGTGCTCATTCTCATCATTGTGTTCATAATTGTGCTGATGATGGTACATCGAAACGGCAAACGCACTTGTCAGGGCCCGGAATACCTGCAGGCTATGTACGCACAAGATCAGATAAACACGTTGCCCAAAATCTATGCGATAACGCCGACGTATGCGCGACCCGCTCAGAAGGCTGAACTGACTCGTCTGTCTCATTTGTTCATGCTGGTGCCAAATCTTCATTGGATCATTGTGGAGGATGCCAACACGACGAGCTCGCTGGTGCGCAGCCTTCTGGATCGTTCAGGCCTAGTGGATCGCTCCACACAGCTAAACATTAAGACGCCGCCCGAATTTAAGCTGCAGGGCAAAGACCCCAATTGGATAAAGCCGCGTGGAGTGGAGCAACGCAATCTTGCCCTGTCATGGCTACGCGCTCATGTCGATGTGGAGCGACACGCCATTGTCTTCTTCATGGACGACGACAACTCCTATGCGGTGGAACTGTTTGCTGAGATGTCAAAAATCAAGCCAGGCCGTGTAGGCATTTGGCCAGTTGGCCTCGTTGGCGGCCTAATGGTCGAGCGGCCACTACTTAATGCAGACAACACGCAGGTGGTTGGATTTAATGCCGCTTGGCGACCAGAACGACCATTTCCCATTGACATGGCTGCCTTTGCCATCAGCATGGACCTGTTTATAAGCTTCCCACAGGCTATCTTCTCGTATGAAGTACAGCGTGGCTATCAGGAGAGCGAAATACTTCGCCACCTCACCACGCGCGACAAGCTCCAACCATTGGCCAACAATTGCCGAGATGTTCTCGTTTGGCATACGCGCACGGAGAAAACGAAACTCAATGCCGAGGAGGCACTGCAGCGGAAGGGCCAACGCTCAGACGATGGAATAGAGGTGTAGTGTCAAGCGTACTTAAATAATTGCTCATGTATTAGCGAATTTAAATAGCCATTATTCAATTGTATATATACTCTATATATGTGTGTGTAAGTTACAAGATTCTGTATTGATTTTATTATTGTGTCTGTATGTATTTATTGTACTTCGAAATTGATCTGTTAATTCAAATACGCCAGTAGTTAAATAAAGCTATTGTTAGATGAAGCAATGGCAGAGTTTTTTAAAATTATAATTTTCTTTTATAAATCAATCAAAATGTATAGCACGAGAGGTACAAAATCCAGGTCTGCAACAATAAAAGGCTTGTGCGGAAAAAAGAGCGCTAAAGCTTTTAGAGATTAAGTGAAGAAATATTCATATAAACGAATATTAAGTAAAAGATTTCAACATGGATAAAGCCTTGAAAATGAGGCCATCACAGATAAGAAGAACCTCTTCTTCGAGTTGATCTCTATAAGCATCTTTTTATTCATAGAGAGATAATGAGAGATAATGGAAAATTTAATTACCTGGCATGACAAAACTTTCCCAAATATCTGTGGTCTTGTTTAAATACAATGAGCCGTAACATGAATTTAATTTTCTTATTCAATAATAGGAAATAAATTAAATGATGTCAAATTGAGGATAAAACAAGAGAGAACGCTACAGTCGAGCAAGCCCGACAGTGTAATACCCTGTACCCAGGTAAACTTCCGTCACTGAGTTATATGCGCCCATAGCAGCAACAAAAAGAGGAAGAAGAAAAGCGAACTTGTTGCTGCAGTTTGGGGGGGTTGTACTGGCGAGAATTTGTTTCGCTAATAACTTTTATTAGAATTAACCGAATTGAATAAAATTTTGAACAACAGTAGACAATTATATATAAATTATGTGTGCAAAGTTTGGTTTAGGAAGCATTTGAAATGTGGACGCTATTGACGAAATTCTGTAGCGGGAGAAGGGGAGGAAAATTAAAAAAAATAAAATAAACTCGTCCTTACTCGGACCTAGGAGAATCTGGATGCCAACTTTGGTTATTCTAGCTTTTATAGTTTCTGAGATCCTCGCCTTCATCCAGACGGACAGACGGACGGACAGACGGACGGACAGACGGACGGACACGTCTAGATCGATTTCTCAGCATGACGGCTGATTTAGAATATATATACTTTATGGGGTCGGAGATGCTTCCTTCTGCATGTTACATACTTTGCACAAACCTAATATACCCTTTTTACCCTACGGGTACAGGGTATAAAAAGTTATCCATCAACAACAAAGAAACGATGAAGTAAAGTTGAAACACCCTAAAACTACTTCAATAACTGGAATACTTTTGATCATTGGGGGGACATTTAGTGATTGAAAGCAATTGAGTAAAAATCCAAACAAACAAAAAAAACGTTTTGCTATATATTTATAATTGTTCCATTGTACTTAGCTCAATTGTTTTTAATTTGCGGCCTCGTTATGTCGAATTTGTAGGTGCGAAACCAAATGATTGATATCTATACCTGCTTCGAGTTAAAAAAATGTCTGTCTTAGCTGAAACTTTGCACTCTGCAAAAGAATTTATAAAAGATAAGTAAGTTAAACATAAATCTGTAAGTAACCCAGAAAACGTTTGCAAGAAGTCCAGCTACTCAACTAAGCGTTGAATTCATCTTCCGGAGAGGAGGGAGTTAGCAACTACAAGGAATGAGAATTATGTGAAACTCTGAACAAAAAAACCCATCTGACAACGATTATGATGTATATATATATAGGGAAGATGATGCAGGAATATGTTGAAGTTATTGATGTTTACAAACCCAAGATTTGCAAGACTAAGCTCCTTAGCTAAACTAAGGAGAAATGGTTAAAATCATGTGAACAAATCAATAAAATCTCCCCTATTTTTCTTATTGGTAAGTCATCGATTCTGAGTAATTGTTAAGGCGATTAAAATAACCCTCCACAAAACATTCACAAAATCGTGGCTACTTAAGAAAAACTCCTAGAGTTTTAAATTCTGTAGCTAAAGTCAACAACCTGAAGAATAACGCTGAACAAATTGAAAAAGAATAATATAATATCTTTAATAAAATCGCCCACGTTTACCACGTTTATATGAGTGGAGTGTTAAGGTTAAAAAAAAGATAAATATATGAATACACACTGAGGATGGCAGGAAGATGACTGGAGAGTATGCCAAATACCCTATATTTGTTAGCCTCAAGTCGGACTTGACAGCTGCCAATTGAAGCTACAGTTAAAATGGTGTTAAGCTTGGTCCTGAAACTGCCACCAAATAAAAAAGCCCAACTTTTGAATTTAAAAAACCTACTTACATTTTATTGAATATGAGCTCCTACAAAGATCTAGGCAGATTTTCCAAAACTTACCTTTTTTTTATTAAAAATGGCCAGCAAAACAATGAAAACAGTCTTTTTTTTAATATACATATAATTTTGTTCATATATATTTTTATTGTATTTGTTTTCTTGTATAGAAAAAAAACTTACACATTAATTTTAAATACATTTACATTCATTTATTATTATATTATGTTTATAATTTTTGATTTTTTATTTGTTTATCTGTTTTTTTTTTTACTTACAATTTTCATAAATTTTTACATATATAAAAATTAGGCTTTCATTTTCATAGTTGTAAAAAAAAAAACATAAAATAGTTTGCTTTTGTTGGCCAACTGGTTGGTTAGCCTTTCCATACAGTATTTGTCAGAAAGTTACAAAACAAAAATAATAAATTGAAAATGTTATGTGTTTGCTCGTTCGTTTGATTGTTCGAAACCAAAGTAAATTTTTTCTTTTTTTTGGCGTTTATTTATTTAGTTTTTTTGTTTTATTTTAATATTAGGTTGTACATCAAAATGTAATTACGCTTGGGCAATTATTTGCAGATTCATGATTTTTAAAATTTTTATTTTTTATACACATTTAGAAGCTCAAAGTAGAGATTGGGCATGAGGACGAAATACTGGAGGTGTTGCACTACAATATCTGAATGAATCGTGCCTAAGTTATCCCTTAGATGTCAGGAATTTTGTCTTACAAATAAGGTTATTCAGAGTGTATTTGGTTTGTTTAAATAAGTCGAAACTTTGTGAATCGCTCCAAAAAAGAAGAGAAGCGCAAAGAAACAGACTTCGGTTGGTCCTTTTGAACGTCCCTAATAGAATTGAAATATTTCACAGACATCTCACAAAGGTCTTCAAGAGATTACTCAGAGAGTACTTGATGCGTTTATAGAATCTTTTCTAAGAAGAATTGGAAAGAAACAGACTTCGGTTAGACTATAGTCCTTTTGAACACCTCTAAAAGACTTGAAATATTTCGCAGACATCTGAAAGAATGCCGGAGAATTCTGTGCCTATTAAAGTCTAGTCTTCTCACAAAGGTTTTCAGGAGGTTACTCAGAGAGTACTTGATACAATTATATAATCTTTTCTGAGAAGTGAGAATGAAAAAGACTTGAATAGCCAGCATTTCTTGATTCGATTTGATAGTTTCTTCTGAAGAATCGCTACTAAGAAGAAAAGAAGAGGGACTGAAACCAACTTCGATAGCCATTAGTTCATTTAATTGTTGCAGTACCCGGAGGAATTCCATCCAAATACCCATCTTTCTTGCTTAAGCTGTCGAGGTTTGTTGACTACTCTTGAAAATAATAAAAACCCTTTTAGCGCAAATTTGTGGCAGAGTGAAGGCGACAGCTTCCGTAATGATAATAGACAGACAACGTTACTGTTATGTGTTCAAGCAATAAAGCATTCCATATACATACATATTTTATATCCGTGTGAGTATATACATATATGTATATACTTGTTTATATATGTGTTTGTATGTGTCTGTGTGTTCATGTGTGGCAGTGTACAAACGCTAAGCATTTTCAATTAATATTTATTCTCGTTTTGTTGTTGCATTTCTGCTTTGCTTTTAAATCTTATTTATTATTTATAATTTGTATAAACTGATAAACTTCAACGCACAGCAGCTTGCACCAAACATTGAGCATTTCTCTTTCTTTTTGCTTTTCTTTTACAACTACAAATAAGAGCATTACGTTTAATTAAAAGTATGCCAATTTATCAGTATATATGTATGTATGTATGTATAGATATAAATTAAGGATTTCAGTTTTGTCATGATTTGTGAAAACAAAAAATGCTCGCAAGTCTTTTCTTTAGCGTTTTTAAGTACATACTTACTTGTAGTACTACGAAAAAAAATTTCAAAAAAAAAAATACATGTAGTTGGACAATCGACTATTTTGTTTTGTCATTTGAAAGCGAAGTAAAAATTTCAAACTGAAACAATTTTCACACAATGCTCCAACTTAATATGTAAACTTATGTATGGCATGTTTAAGTTAGTTATACTCCTATTATAATTATTATTAATTTTGCTCTCGGCTCACACAACATAACCTCCTAATCAGAATTATAGGCATAATCATTATTATTATTATGTAATTTCGCTTTTAAATGCTAGATAAATGTAAGTTTTGTTTGTTGTAAGGCAATAAATTTATATTTTTGTTTGCATGTATAACTTAGGCTAGGCTTTCTCTTCTATAATTTTTTATTACATTTTTTTCTTAAATGAGAATCATTTTTGTTTGGCAAAAAAAAGCTATGCAGCGCTTAAAAATTGAAGCAACATGGACATGAAGAATGTTTTTGTATTTGTGATTTATGTTTTTGTTTCATCTTAATCTCTATATATGCATCTGCATTGGATATCGTATGTATTTAAGATGTATATGTATATAGTAAGACATTTAGTAAAAAAAATTATACCCACTCAATAAATCAATTCTATTCTAAAGCAAAATGATAATTCGCATTTATGTATGTATGTATGTATCTAGGTTGTCCCCCAGCTTTGGCTTTGTTTAATTCAATAATTATTTGTATCGTATTATTTGTGGTTGTTGTTGTTGCTGTTGTTCTTATTTTTGTTGCTGCTGCTCTACGGTTAGTCAAATACTATTGGTTGTTGCCTGCTTTGTGCACATTATAGCGTTATCGGCGCCGCCATTGCCGCTTTACACCGCCGAGTTTTTGCCAATAATCTCACCGCTGCGTGAATGTACAAATCGGCCATCGAATTCGATCGTAGAGTTCTGCTTGATGCTGCCAGTGGGCGTGCGCAGCGGCTCCTTTTCGTCCCTGCGTGAGTTTAAGGATAGAGAACAAGCAAAATAAGTTAATTAATACGGGTAAGGAGTGAAAAATCAGGCATCTTTTCAAGTTGCATATCACAGAGCTTGCGTTTGCGTGCTAATTATCAATTAATTATAAATATCGCGATCGAGTTGCATATCAAAGAGCTTTCGTACAGCTAACAGCTAAGACAATCGAAACAAATTTGCGGTCAATTAAATTTATCCATAAAAACTGTGCATTGTGCAGGTCCTGCACAGTGGCAGAATGTGCACCTGTGAATTGCGCGCTGCCAAAATGGTGGAATCTCTGATTGTGCAGTAAATTCTGGCCTAAAATATACACACAAGGATGCTAGCTACAAACGGAACGCCAATGTACCGCACAATCGCGCCATTTTGCAGAGCCGCACATTCTGGCGCTGTGCACGACCTGTACAATGCGCATTTGTTACGGACTCTGCAATAAATCAGTGTTAATACTTAACATAGTGACTACATTTTCATCCGCGAACTTGAGTTATTTGTGACTCCATTTTCAATTATTAAAGAAGTTCGAAAAAACTTCATATTGTGTTTCAAAGAAAATCAACTTTAAGTGATTTATAACGGACCGCTTGTGATTTTAGTGCGCGTCTCGGTTTAATTATTACACAAAACTTGATTAACATCTTCATATTCTTAGGCTGCTTTAAGCCAGGGTCAGTCAGGTAAGTAATTTATAAACAAATTGTTTCAGTTTTGCCGGATACTTTTTCATAGGCAAACAGCCGTAGGAAACAGAAAGTTTCCTTTTTTTTTATAAATCTGTTGGGCAACAATATGATGATCATATTCTTGAAGTTCATTCTTAATATTGTATATATAAATTTAATTTAATTTAATTTTAGATTGTTGGCACTAATCATAGGATTAAGTTCTACACGTGACTCGGAGTCGCGACTATTGATTCCTAGTCCTTGTTAGTTACTTTTGTAAATTTTTTAAGGTCTGTCTAGACAAACAATAGTCAGTAAGTTGACATTGTAACACTTGATTGTTTTCCTTGAAATGTTTGTACAAAAATTCTTTTTTTCAATTCGCAATTTGTGATAATGCTCGAAATCGTTAGCTTTGTGCTTTTGAAATTGCTGAACTCTTTAGCCGATTAGCTGTAATATAAAACAGTTGTATGACACAATTTGTTTTGAATAAATCAGCTTCGGCTACAGCGGATGAAAATGTTCTGCCCGACTTGACTAAATAAACATAAATAAATTCAACGCTTTCCAGGCAGCGATCAATTCATACTAAAGTTTACCATTTGATCGCCGTCTGAATAAATAAAAGAGCTTTATAAATCTAATAAACAACTAAAGCCAAGCCAAACTATACATTTAGCCGTGTATGTACATGCGATAAATGAAAATGGTAATGAGAATATGTATATGAGAGTATTATAGAGAGGTTTGTAAATACGATAGAGAGTGTGGTTACTAATAGGAAAGGAGAGCACAATTCTACTGAAGCTTTAGCGTTAGGCGCGAATGACGACTGACTAGCTAGGAGATACGTACAATGGCGATGTCATTGGTGAGCCGCCCAGTTTAACTGGCGGCGGTAGTGGTAGCGGTGATGGTGGTGGCTCCTTAACCAGCTGTCCACTGCAATAAGGTAGCGGGAAACGCCAACCGTAAAGACTGCTTGGTTAGATGGTAATTTGGTTTTGTTTCATTGTATTGATTTTTGATTTTGATTTTGATTTTTGGATTGTTGTTGATTTTTGTGTTGGATTGTTGGAACAATATGGTTTACGAGTTGAAAGAATCGAGAGAGATAGTATGGAGTTGGTAAATGAACGTGGCAATGAAAAGGTAATGTGTGTGTGTGTGTGTTTTGTGTTTTGATTTTTCTTCTTGAATGCAGCATTCTCTTTTTTCTGTACTTTTGTTGTTTTGTATTTTATGGTTTTGTGAATGACAAATGATATAGTGATATGTAAACAAGTTATTAGCAAATCCATATATTGTAACCAATAAAAAACATCATTAATAGACTGCCTAAAGAAAAAGTAAGGCTTTGGTCAGACTGGCAAATAGTTTGTACACCAATCTATCGAATTACACAAAACCAATAAGAATTATATACTTATTTGATTTTATGCTATAGCAAACTTCTTTGGCGATTACTTTTAAAAACCTTCTTAAAAGACATATCATTAACAGACTGACTAAATAAAACCACTAGCAAAAAACTAAATCTGTGATCAGATTTGCAAATTGTTTGTACACCAATTTTTCGAATTTGACAATGCCACTAAGATTTCTATACTTACTCTATAACTCTTTAAAGCCTTATTGTAAAATAAAAAAAAATTTGAGTCTGACTATAGCTTGACTGCCTACATTAGGTAAGAGAAAACTTTTCTAAGTGGCCCACTAGGTAAGGCACTTCTTATAGCTCTATATACGCTATGCTGTAATATTAAAATTAAATTGAGCAAATTTCTTTATAAAGGAAAATTAAGTATATATTTACAAACATTAAGGCATGATGAAAAGTTGAAACACGAAAACTGTACTACAAAGGTTAGCTTACTTCAGGGGCTATAGTTTAAGGAAAAATGTAAGAATGATTTCAGATATATGAATAAGTTTTGCAGCTAACACGAATTCTAAAGCGCTCCCAACTCATAATATATCTCGCTGGACTACACCTTAATCTCATAATATTTTATTTAAAAGATTGGTGGTAGGAAAGAGTTTAAAAATATTGCCAGCAATATTTAAACGGAACTAAGCCATTGCTTTGAAAATAGTTTTGTACATATCCTCAACTTTGAAGCCCTATAATTCAGATAACTTTACCAAATTTAAACTTAAAATTGAGTTAAATACAAGTATAAACAAAATTTTTGGTTTATAAAATACGCCTAGCCTTGACTAAAAGCGTGTGATTTACTAGAACAAAATTTTCTAATTTACTATCAATACATATGTTGCTTCAAATATATTTTACTATATTTTTTAAAATATTTAATCAAATATTTAAACATTTCTTTAGCATTTTTTGTATTTTGCAATAAATTTCACTTCTGCTAAGAAGCTTTAAATACATCATTTTAGTATAATTTAAATAGGTTCTTTCACTTTCTTTCGCTCTATTTAATTGGATATACAAATATTTAAGATACAAGAAGCTTTAAAAAAACCTTTGAAATCTTATGTAACTAGCTTCCAGTATAACTTTATTTGTCCGTCTACCTATATGTATATCCAGTTTTATATTTATCTAAGTATTATTAACGATCTTCTGGACTTTTCCATTTAGAAGAAAACACAAAACTATACAGTTGTGGTTAAAAATTGTTGAATTAAATAGGAATTATATTACTTGTCTGGTAGGGAGGGCATGAACGATAGAACCAATAGGTTTGTTTGGGTTTTTAAAAACTAAACTATCGATAGTCACGGCACACTATTGGTGGTTAGATGAATCAAAGAAACTTGCATCTTGAGATATTTCAGAAATATTTGAAAATACAAATGTGTTTTGGAAGCAGTGCCGAGACTATCGTTGGTAATTGCTAGGTATTTTTAAAATCAAGTATAGCTATTGATGGTGCTGCTAGCTGGTACTTCATCACTAAACGAAATATAGCTAAACTTTTCCTAAAAATTACAGACACACAACACACATAAAATCACAACAAATAGACTAGGGAAATAATATGTGAACAATTAACAATATTGAAATGAAAGAATGAGACACTCAATAGAGAAAAAGAAGCAGTGTTGGTGTTTTTTATTATCTTTTGTAGAATCGAACTAAACAGTGTCTGTATTGTGTGGCGAATTGAAAACTTTTTAATATTGCACTAAAATTTAATTGAATTCAAATGAAAGGATGTGTTTTGTAAGTGAAAAATAAAGGAAAGAAACAACATGTTGTGTTGGTTGGTTGTTTTGGTGATGATTTATCTTCATTTTTTTTTTTTTTTTCATCTACAATTTAATTTTAAACGAACATCAATGAGTTTCGATTAAATAGCAACGATTTGGGACGCGCATAAACCCAATTGTATTCGGAATCCAGGCGTTGTGAATTTTGACTTTGTGGCGAATTTAGTTCGTTCGGTCGTTGCAAATAAAATGTGGAAGTGGAAGAATCGAAAAAAATGGGACAGAAAGAAAGGCAAACAAATAAAAGAGGGAAAACGTTTAATTCTCGTTGAGTCTTCACATCATTTTAGTGCAATATTAGATTGTTTCAAACATGTATAGTAGCTCTAGAATGGTGAACTACCATCAACTACCTACTATATAGGTATATTATGTATGGCATAATTAAATAGTTGCGACTGTTTTGCTTACCTGCCCAGTTTCGCCTCGTCGTCTATTTCGGATGGTGAACGTTTCGCCTTGCGGCACATGGTGGCCATTACGCCCATGTGGACGGTCATGCAGCACAGCAGATCGACAATGAAAAGGAGCAGCAGGACACCGCCAACGGCTATGCCCACAATCGCGGCCGATGAGAGCACCTGACGTTCCGCCACTTGGATCACATCTATGCCTGTTTCAAAATGTTCAGAAAAAAATGTGTGGAGGCGGGAGTTGTGGGTGTGTTGATGGTTGCGGGGTGCGGGGTGGTTGGAGAGGATTGGAATGGATTAGAGGTGGTTGTATGCTTGATTAGTAAATTGTCATTTTTCATTTTATACACAGAGCTATTAATCATAAAAGGGATTCGATCGAAAAGAACTATAGAATATGAGTGCTCTTCAAAATTTCTCTACAAAAATATCAACTGCATTTTATTATTAAACTTGAAGTACACTCAAGTCTACTACTCTATCTAACTTTAAGTTACATTTAAGATATGGTTTCCCTTCTTTTTTTTTTGCTTCTTATACATACATTTGCAAGATTCTTCTGCCCCACTTCCTTTGGGGAAGCTTATCTACAATTATGATGGAAACGATGGAACAAAAAAAAAAAAATAAATCCATTCAACTCTGTTGTATTGTTATATACAATTCTAGATAGCTCCACCCAATCACTAGGACTCCTTTGGGGAAGCCTATCTATAATTGTGATGGAAACGATGAAATAAAAAAAAGTCCATTCAACTGTTGTATTGTTATATATGTAAAGTACTAGATAACTCCACCCAATCATTAAGAATCCAAGTCCTTTTTTGAAACCAAAATTTTGTCTTTCGATTCCGACAAGCTTTAAATAAATCGGAAATTATGTTACAATTATTCTTAAAACAAATTAATAAGAAATTCTTAAGAGTTACTCAAAAGTTTAATCCAACTTCAACTCTACTATTGCGATATAGCCGTCATATTAAGTAACATATTTGCAAAGGTATATATAATCTTCGGTGCACCGAAGATGGAGATTTTGGTTAATTCGATTGAATGCCATTTTTTCAATTTGGAATAATTGTTGGCATTTTTCTGCAAGTTATTCAATATTTTTGAACGCTCGAGGTTTATATATTATAGATATTTTACATTTTTGTGTGTGTATTTTGAACAGAAAATTGTTGGAAATGAAAAAATCAACATAAATGAAAAGCAGCCATGAAAGCTAGAAGCCTTAAAGCAAAATGTATAGAAATAATAAGCAAAGGTGTACCAATCGCCAAAGTATTTTAAAAAGCGTTTTGAAAAACTTATAACATAACATCTCTTAATTAGAATCGTGTACAAATAAAACATGCAGCCTTTTGCTTTTTTTTTTAGTTTTGTTGCATTTTTGCATTTTCTTTTGTTTTGTTTTGGAAGAAAGCGGGAAGCGTGGGAGCTTAGCTTAAGAAGACAATTTATTTAGAAAGCTTAGCAGATTTTAATTTGAAAGTTGTGACAGAGAGTATGGGTGTGAGAGAAAGAGAGAGAGAGAGCGATAAAGATAGAGAGAGATATATATAGAGAGAGAGAAAGCACACAAATAAGCACAAATAGTTTTATTCACTAAGAAAGTAAAACAAAAGTTCGCCAATATGCAAAAAAAAGCAAGAACTTAGAATCGAATTTTGCTAAAAATATACACAATTGAAATTAGTTAACAAAATTATAGAATTAGCTTAACATTAAGTGGGGTGTGGTATGCAAATCAAAAGCCGTTCTTGTGTGGTTTACAATTTTTCACAAAAAATTTTCGTTCATACAATACACATAGCTGGAAATGTTTGCTTTTGGGGAAATAGAAACTATAAACATATGTAATTATTAGTGTGTATGTGTGTGTGTGGGGAAAAATTGGATTCAAATACATATATATTATATATAGCGCTGCACGTTTTAAAAGTATTTTGGGTTTCATTTCATGTTTCTTTTGATTTTCTACAATACAGAACAGAAACTCAATTGAAAATATTATGTAGATTAATGCAATAAGTATAGTGTTCTGTTTTTTTTTTGCATTTGTTGGTGTTGCTGTTTTTGTTGTTGTTGTGAGCGTTAAGGCAAATAATTATCATTTCGTTTCTACATATACGCAGTAGCAATTAAAATCGCAGTTCAACTGTTTCTTATTTTTTTCTTGGCATTCAGTTGTTAGTCATTGGCGAAACGAGGAGCATGTCAGTGTGGGGTTAATATTTTAATCACATATGTGTGTATGTACTATGTGTGCGTACGTATGCGTATGTGTAAATAAGTAACAAAAAATGACATGAAAAAAAACATTTTCTAGTAGTATATATGTATGTAAGTAGTAGATAGGTGTTTATAAAGCATTTTGACATTTTCATATTACCTGTCAGCACTTTCTTATGTACAGCAAGATGGCGGCAGCGTCTCACAAACGCATATTCTTTTACAAATTAGTCGGTATAGTTTATAATTATGGTATAAGGATATAAGTATAATACAGAGCAGTTCACATTTCCGATTTAAAGCCCTAGATGCGTAACACCAAGCCACCCCAACAGAAGAGTGTTTAGGATTTGCTCAAGAGTTTTGCAGAAACTTCTTAACAACCATCTGCTCGACTTCGATAATAATGGAAATTACTATAAAGTCGAAAAGTAGAATTTTTGCTGACTATAATATCATATTTAAAAAACCTTTTTATTTCCCAAAAAGTTTTTTTTTTCTAAACAGAAACGAGAGAACAACACTAGTAAGTTTTGATTTGATTTTTTGTATTCTCATTATGTTCTAATGGTCTACTTAACACACTGTGTTTTAGTTCTTTTTCCATTATCGCTGTGGAATTGTCGATTGATGTGCGATGAAAATTTTAAATACATTTCTAAATTTTCCTAACAAAGCACCTTTTTTTTATACTAAGCAAAAAGAACGTATTCTTCTGATCCGGAAGCTTAGCTTTGGGAAATTCCCGTGAGTTAAGAAACTTGATTAACACAGATCGCGAATATCGATTATCGTTGTAGATAACGATAGCGATCGATTCTTGTATTCAAGCAGTTTAAAATTGGGAATCCCCTACGAGGTAAATGACAAAATTCTAAGTTTTAACATAGATCACTCCAATTCTGCTCTAAAGTTCCTTTTTCGACATAGAATTTCAATTTTTTTGTTGATACAGTAAGTAGAAATATCTTTCATGCACACACACACATATAAGTATAGAGAGAGGCTTCTTTTTTTGTTCAAGATTTGTCTTTATTACCCAAAATGAACCGCTTAATTGTTAGGCTTGTTTTTGTTTTATGTTCTCGTGTTTACAACATTTATGACAAATATGCGTTTATCTACCATGCTTTTTTTTCTTTTGGTTATGTGTGTGTGTGTGTTAGTGTTGGTGTGCGTGCCGCGGGAACTCAATCGAAAGGTGTTTCTAAAACTGCATAACTAAACCTCTAGTGTTGCAGTTTTACGCGATTTTAGTCGCAGTCGCTTAATTATAAGTTGTCTCGCCTCGATTGGATTCCCTGCCGCGCACGCTATAGCGGGATTTCGTGTGGGTTTTCAGCATAAAACGTATTTACATATTCTGATATAATGCTTTGTTTTTTTTTGTCTTTTTTTAAACACCTTGCTTGCTCTCTCCAACATATTTTTCATGATTTGTGTCAGCTTAGGCGTTTCTTTCTTTCCTTTGGAGGGAGCATGTTCATTTCTTCCTTTACCTATTTAAGTATGTATGCATGTTTGTTAATTATATTTAACTATTTTGCGTTTTCCATAAATATAATTCACTTATATTCTTGTGGTTATCAAAAAACACTTGTACTAGAAAAAAAAAAAAACACACGCGTCCTCCTCAGCAACGTTAGGCGGGCTGAATTAATCACTAAATTTATATCTATATGTATAAGTAAGTAGTGTATAGTTATAAACTGCATTATGTATATATACTTGTATATATATACTGTATAATATATATTGTATGTATATAATTTGCTAGAAAAAGGTAGTGTACTAAAAAATTGTATACAGGAATATTTTGTCTATTTAAAGGTTCAAACGCATACTATTTGATTTGTTTTGTTTTGTTTTGATAGTGGTAAGTTTTTCAAATTGAATTTTTGGTCTTACAATTACTTATTCCATTTATGCGCGTCCAATGAGCATATTTTTTTTTTTTTTTATTAATTCCATTTTTCTTATTAAGCTTAATACACCATGTGAACAAATTCGTAGTTGGAAACGTGTATGTTGTTGGGCAAGAAAGAATTGTGCAGAATTGTTTCGTGCGATCTTCTTCTGCAGTACGGTGGTCAGTCCAGATAATGGATTCCATTTCATTTGACTATCCGGCCCAAGATTCTGATATTAACTTGATTTATATATTATGTGATGATTTTTGTTTTTTTTAAACACTTATTGTCGCCTCAACGTATACTTTTAAAAAGTGAAATATATAATGGAAACAAAACCAACAACAAAGTCGGATAAGGTCGACGAGTTTCAAGCAGTGCAGTTTTCAAAACAACTGCTTTGTAAGCGAACAGCTTTTAGAGATGAGCAACACCGTTATGCTAGTGATGGTTAATAAACAATATTAAGTGAATTAACTTCTTGGAAGAATCAAAGTTTGCTTGCTTTTCAAAATCGAAATACTACTTATTTGAAAGCGATCACACATGTGTATAGGTTTTTTTTTTTTTTTTTTTTTTGGAAGAGTTGCAAATGCACGATTTCTTAATATAAGATGTCAGCTTCAAATGGCGAGCATTCCATTTTTTGATATGATAAGTATCGGTGCTCATCTCTATCAGTAGTTTTGGCCGTCACTGAAATTCCTTATAGCATTAATTAATTTAATTGGCTAGCACAAAAATTGCAATTGAAGCTATTCATATTATTATATACGCGTATGTTTATAGATTTTAGCTAAAATTGTTGTTCCTTTATGTACTCTTTTATTTTGGCAGTGTTTATTTCACATGGTTTCTTGGGTTCTCTAATTATTTATGCATGTTCTTGACTAAAACAAAAAAAAAGGACTCTTAAGGAAGCAATATGAATAAAATATCGCCCGTTCGGGTGTGTATAATTAAGTAACAAACTCACAATTTAGTTAGAGCGAAACAACACTTGCTTAGATTTACAAATATTTATGTAGGCATATGCTAGTGGCTAGACATATGTACATACTGCTGTTGTTAATATAATTAATTAATTTATTTTGGCATTATTTCTTTTATTTTCACTTTTGTATTTTGTACATTTAATGGAATCATATCGTAGAACAGGGAAGTACACACACACTTACGAGTACTTAATAGAAAGGAAATGCCATTTAAAACCTCCTCAGCATTTGGTTGAGCAATGCCTTTTTTTTTGGGTTTTTTTTTAAATATAAACTACATACACATACATCAACATTTTGGTTTGAGATTCCACTGAGCACACACAGAAGTTCCATTTAATCGCTAGTTATATGTTTCCATTAATATTTACACGTCTCTGCACACACAATGACAAAAAAAAAAAAATAGTAGTAGAAACAACAACAAACAGAACAAAAAATCAAACAGTAGTTAAAAGGAAAACAAACAACTGTGAAGAAACGATGAGTAGAGCTGGAGGGAGCTCTGCTGCGGTTGCTGCTCCTGTGGGAGAGTTAGTAGCGGTGGCTGCGGCGGCGACGGCGGCGGCTGTGGCTGCTTGAACACTGCTTGTGCTTAATGTGGCGTCGTCAGCAGTGTGACGATAAGCAGTAGGAATATGGAGGCTGCGCATGCGTTGCTGCTCGCTGATGAGAACGGGTAGGGATTGTCTGTTGTTGTTGTTGTTGCGATTTCAATTTGTTTCGAAGCCGATGTTGCATTTCATAGATTTTATAATAGTTTTTTTTTTTTTTTGATTTTTATACGATTTATAAAATAGAGCATTTTTGGTTTGTGGTTTTGCACACAGCATAAAAGAGAGAAAAAACAAAGAAAAGTAGTAGAAGAAAAAAAGGAAGAAAAGGAAACACACAAAAGAATTTTTCTTTGTTGGTTTTCGCACAAACAGGAATTTTGTTGTTATTGTTATTTGTTACTGTTATTGTTGTTGTGGTGGTTGTTTTTTTTTTTTGCAGCGAGGCGACAAGGGCGTTACAAAATTTGGCGACGACGCTGACAATAGGATGTGGCTTACCATTTTGGCATGTTACTGTGTTTCTATGTATGTATATGTATGTATAGTTATAGATATATAGTATGTGTGTGTGTGTTTGTGTGGGGGGGGGTGTTCTGTTTTGTTGTTGTTGACTGTTCGTTTTGGGTTAGTTACGAGCATGGTTAAGGGCATCTGTGGTTAGCGGTAGTTTTCGAGTGTGTTTCTGAAGTGTTCGGCTTTTCGGCTTTTTGCCCTTTCTTTATTTTTTTGGATTAAAAAAAGGGCGCTCTCTACTTTTGCAGTGACTCTCAAACGTTGCGCACAAAGAAGTGCGCCATCTAAAAATTTTGTGGGCCTAATTGTTATGTGTACATAATATTGTTACTATAATATTTTTATGATGTAAATATACATATATTAAATGCAGACACTAAATAGGCATATTGGTTAGGCATAAATTATGTTCGCTTTGGAATAATTTCAAATCATATGATAATAGTAATACTAATAATAATAGGTGTATCATGTATAGAGATTAAAATATAGTATATGTATATACAATTCATAACGAAAAGGCGCGCGCACACACACACACACGATTAAGCCAGCTTGAGAGTATGCATACAGTTTGAGAGTCATTTGCTTAAACTACACACACGCATGGATAGATGGAAAGAGCAACATAAAGAGCACATATGTTTGTATGTATGTGTATGTGAGCGCAAGTTGAAACACAAAAGAGAGAACAGTGTGACACAGCGACAACATAGTTAGGCAAGCAGCTAGATAAAGAGATAGATAGAGCAAGTGAGAGACAGAGACAGAGAGATTGAGAGAGAGAAAGAGAAGGCATAGACACACGACAAACAAACAGCACGCGTTCCACGATAATAATAATAGTAATAATAAAAAGTATTGCATATGCAAATTACAATTATGTATGTATTGTTTTTTTTTTCAAAATTTTATTCAACTTTTTTAATTGCTTAATCAAAAATTTAACTAAAAAAGTAGGCGCAGTACACATAAAAAATTTAGAAGGAAACTAATGATTCAAAACATAAAAGGCATGTAACTAATTGTTGCGTTTTATAACTAGAAATTTTACATTAAACAAAGTAATGTTCCACATATTATGTAGTATAAAAAAAATTACATATAATTTTTCAATTGCAATGTTAAGAATGCACACACAAAAATATAAACAATATTGTTGTCTAGTCTATTGATTAGTTTCATTATTTTTCAATTTGAAATGAGAACTCAAAACTGTTAATTATTCTTATTTTCAATATATGTAGTATGGTTCTGTTTCTGTTTCCGTTTCTGTTCATCTTCTCTAGTCATAAGTAGTGTGTGGCTTGTAGTTGTAAATTAATTTATAATTAAGTAAATGCTTATGCAGTGTAGTAAAAAAAAAAAATATTTAAGCTAAATTTTAAAGAATAGCAATGATTTGAAATCAATTTCTAGGGCGCGCCGCTCGTTTCTGCTTCTAACATCGTATGTCGCATACAAAAGAGGGTCGACACACGTATAGTACATAAGAGTGTAGAGTATGTTGCATATTTTATTTATTTCTTTTACTTTGAATTATTTCTCTTCTTTTTTTGGGGACAACGGACAAAGTACAGTAAAGTAGTTACATTTTAAGTATATAAATTAATTAAAATTAATTAAGGAGCGGTAGATACAAAATATGTGATGAGTTGAGTGCGAGTGCAGGAGGAGAGTTACGATACGATACGATTACGTATGCAATGAGCGCGACAAGGATACACATATAGTTTTGCATATGGGGAGAAGGGAGAGAGACAGTGAGAGAGCACATGAGCGTGCGCCCAAAAGTTGGCTTTCAATGCATATTCTAAATCGTTACCTTTGCAAATGCTTATTAAATGCGTTGCACACTTTATTTACTTTGACATTTTTCGTTCAGTGTATTCGACTAAATGCGCTGAGTCATGGATTGAGTAAAGGGTCAGGCTGTGGAACCAGGAATAATCAATCAGTTCTAAACAGGTTGGCGCTCAGAGCGTCTTTAGCGAAATTATAAATCGATAGCGGGTTTGCTTGTTCAACTCTTTCTGCGTGGAATGTACAACTGACATGAATCGATAACATTTCTTATCGATAACAAGTGTAATTAGCGGGTTAGAGCATTAACGAAACGCACAAAAGCATGCACAGTTAAAAAAACAAATTTAAAAACAATATTTGAAATAAATTTTGAATAATGTCCAACCAAAATATATATAAAAAAAAAAAATTATCTTCAATAAAACAACAACACACACACACTGAGTAAAAAAGTTGCAACGCAAAAAGTAAACACTACAAAAATGTATGCAAAGTTATGATAGATTTAAATATATATAGATATATATATATTCTTTTTTGTTTTTTGTATATATGTATGTAAATATAAAGATATGTAAAAGTAAGTATATAGAGATTTTTCACTTTCGAATATTTATATATATATATATACTTGTAATGATTTCTTCTGATTTTGTTAAAACTGAAAAGCTTGAAAGGTTTTCTTTCGCGTTCGATTCGATTTTCAGTTACTTCGATAACGATAAATATTTAGTCGCAGATCGATAGATCGTTGCATTGATAGACAAATCGATTGATCTGACTATTATTTTAGACTAACATTGAGGCTAAGACACTAAATAATGTTATGCTTATTGTTGTGACCAGCGTAATGATAGCTGTTGTTGTTGTTGTGATTGTTGTTGTTGATGTAGTTGTTGTTGTTGAACTTGTGAGATGTTTGTGTAGCGAACTGACGCCGGAATTGAAGCCGGCCGAGTACAACATATTGTCGAGATTATTTTTAGCGGATTCGGACTCACCTCGTGTCGTCTTCATAATGATGGAGGCGGGCGATGAATAGCCGATGGCATTGTGCGCTTTCAGCTCGATGCGATAGTATGTGTTGCCACTGAGCTGAGACATCTCATAGGAGGTGGTCTCAACCACTTCAACCGTATTGCACTGATTCTCCAACTCGTGCCAAGTGCCGGCCATTTTGACGCCCTGTGAGGTGAACGGTAAACGAGAATTTTCATTTAGAGCATTTATTTAATAGCATTTTAGTTTAATATTAGTTTTACAAAGGTTTCACTACTTTTTATGAATTGTTTACGCCCGTACGTTTGTCCGTCTGGATGAACCCTTGAATTTCGGAAATGGGTGAGCGCACATTTACCAAACTTGGTATGTAGACTCTCCTAGTCCCAAGGCAACACGAGTTTATTTTATTTTTTGGATTTTCCCCGTTCTTCCCTCTGGTACAGAGTACCATCAATTATACCCAGATCAATACCCATATTTTAAAAGCTACCAATATTTTGTTTCAAATTTGATCTAAATCTGTCGATTCTAAGAAAAATTATTAGCGAAACTAGTTCACTCAGCGCCGGACATTTGTCTGGGTACAGGAATTGCTCTCTTTTGATCGACATGGACAAAAAATAAGTTTTCCCAAGAAACTGTTGGGCTTTTCTTAACTCTAGGGCTGCTTTGTTGTTCTTCGATTTTCAATATCAATGCATTCTTACCGGACAGTATTTGATCTGATAGCGATCGATGGGCTCGCCATTGTCCGCTGGCACGCTCCAGCGCAGCTCGAAGTGATCGGAGTAGGGCGAGACAACCACCGGTTCTTCCTTATCGTTCTGCACGGGATTATGCAGCGGCTTGGGCTCTTCGGGGGCTGAACGGCGCGGTGTCGACTGCTGCTGATTGACGCCCCAATTGCCAAGACCGACTTGATTGCGTGCCGCAAATCGGAAATTGTACATAGTCTGTGGTCGCAGACCCTCGACGATGTATGGCGAGTCCGGTGACCAGCTGCGATTAAGCGCCGTAGACCAGTCCGGATTGAAGGCCTCCTTGTACTGCACACTAAACGCCAATATGGGGAGACCCAGTTCGGTGGGTGGGCCGCGTATGTCAAAAGTAATGGTGGTGGCCGTCAACTGTTTCGGTACAGCAGCCGAGACAAAGTCCGGGACGTGCGCCTCCTTCAGCTGCATGTCGTGCTCGGCGGAGCCGTGTATGTTTGTGGCAATGCACTTATAGGCGGAGTAATACTGACGTGCGATCGGATGAACAATGAGATCGCTGCGTGGTCCAGAGCCGACAATCACCAGATTTATGTCGTACAAGTCCTTGATGTTTCGTCCATTCCAGCGCCATTCGATTGTGGCGTTCGGTATACCCATTGCCAGACAGCTGAGGTTCGCCTTGCGCTGGTCCCAACTGAACACGGGCGGCAGCTCCTTCATCTGTGTAAAGTCTGGCGGGAACTCAACGGTAATGTGTCCTGTTTTGAACGCTGTGTCGCCCTTGTTGCGCGCGATGCACTGATAGAGACCATCGTCGGTGCGACGTGAGCGCGCAATGCGCAGAGTGCCAGTGCTCTCGCCTTGCTCCTCATCGAAAAACTGATCCAGGGTGATGCGTTCATCGTCGTCCTGCACGCCGGCCGAATATTCATTCTCAGTGCCCCAGCGACGGAAGGTGATGGCCGGTGCGGGACGTCCCTTCGCGCGGCAAGTGATGGCCACCTCCTTATTACTTACACCGGTCACATTGTACAGTTCATAGACGGAGGGTCGGACCAGCACATTAAGTTTGGTCTTCTGGTCAACCACGCCGGCGGCATTCTTGGCAATGCACGTGTACATTCCATAATCATTCTGGTTGATAGAGTTTACAGTGAGCAGTCCAGTTTGCGGATTGACCTGGAACCGATCGGCCGTCGCCACATTCGTTTGGTCTGAGTCCTTAATCCAACTAATCTCAGGGACTGGTTTTCCAATCGCTGTGCAGTTGGCTGCAAACGGCTTGCCCTCAATAGCCTCCAGTGCAGTAGGCAGAACCGTAATCAGCGGTCTAATGTATACCTCCACGCGTATGGTGCGCTCCAACAGTTCGCCCGTTTCAATGACAGCTGCACGGCAGGTGTAGATGCCATCATCAGTCTCCTGTACATCCCGTATGAGCAGTCCATGCGTCTGCACCACATACTTCTCGCCCGTACGTATCTGCAGTTGATTTTAAATGAGTATTAGTGTGCTGCTTAGCTTGAGGCATTGCTTAGCTCTACTTACCGGATCGCCATTGCGGAGCCAGTCAATTGTGGGATTCGGATCGGCCTTCACCTCACACTTCACCACATAGTCCTCACCGAGTATGGGATATTGATTCTCCGGCGCATTAGTCCAGGTAATGGCCACTGTAAAATAGAAAAAGAGACATTAAGTTACAGGGTTGCAAGCAACAGAAATGAGTTGAAGCTTACAATCGATACTAATAATTATTTATAGCAATCTTCATTTATAACTTAAATTGGTTCTGGGCTTACACTGAAGCTATAAGTGTTTCTACCAATAGGATCTGTAGTTAGGTTTCGATATTAATTAAAATGAAAGCCACTCTACCTGACTGCCTATTCAATAGGCATCAAACTGTAAAATGTTGTTTGAGTTATTTAAAAAGTGGTTTTGAAAAATTCGACCCAAAAATTAGGAAAAATTGCGTTTAACATTTGTATAAATAATCGAAAATAAAATTTACAAAACAAGGTCGTCCGGACCTGTTGTGCCCCAAATTAATTTGGGAATATTTGATCCATAAGTGGGTTAAATTTGGAGATTAAATTTGTAAGCAGTAAGTGGGGTGAAATAGGGGCTTTAATTTGTAAGCAGAATTGAAAAAAGTAAGCTCTGGCAACTTCCAATATCAGCTAAAAAATTGAATAGGTAAAATTTGACTTGCAAGTGGGGTCAAATTTGTCAGCTAAATTCAAAATAAATATAAAAAAATATTAAGCTCAGCCAACTTCTGACTGCAGCTTAAATAACTATACAAAAAAAAAAACTAGTCTTGAGAAAATTTAACCCAAAAGTGGGGTAAAATTGCTGTTAATTTTACAAAGTATGCTCTGCAAACTTCCTATATCAGCTTAAAATTATCAATAAATGTTTTTGTCACAAAATGGGGATAAAGAAGGCGTGCAAGGGTTTAAAAAAAATGTGAAAAGTGTCGGATAATAGTGCTGCTCCACGTGCTGCTCCATTTGTCAGCTATTTTCATTAAAATATATTTATTTTTTCCATGCCTCAGAGACTCAAAATTGTGCTGCAATGCAACTAAGTTCGGGTGGTGCCTTAGGTTAGAGAGAGGGAGAGCCCCAACAGATATCAGTTGCATCTTCTTTTTCACAACTTTACAACTCAATAGAAATAAAACCAACTGGCCGATTGATTTGTCATTCAATACAATGCAACAACATTGCAAGCTCTAGCATTGACATGCTGGGTTTACATTAAGAACTTGTCAAGAGCATCGTCCACAAATTTAAGCCAAAGGTGTGTGCAAATTGTTTGATTTTGCCTCACAGTCAGTCACACACACACAGATACACACTCACACAGACATGCTTGACAAGAGCTAAGGAAATGCTGAGTGTCAAGTGCTGAGGAAGCGGGCGACTGTAATACGTGTGTGTGTCGACAAAAAATAACAACAACAACAATGTGTTGGACACTGCACATGGACACGGCGTGTACGTGGCGTATACGTAATATAATTTTAAACAAACTGTCAGGCGCATAAAAGCAATTCAAGCATCAAGCGAAAAATCCTAGACATGTGCGCGTATTTGTAAGCGACTTCAGATTGCAAGTGTGCGTGTGTATGTGTGTGTGTGTGTGTGTGGGTGAGTGTGTTGAGGCAATGCAGCCCAGTTAACGCCAGCTGCCTCACTTTAAGGATCACTAACGAGCCAGAGTCAAAGTCTGGGCGTCTACACGTTGAGGCAACCGACGCGCCAGGCATGCCAATAAATCTATGCTGCAGTCGAGTTCCAGATCGAAATTGAAAAAAAAAGAAGAAAAGAAAAACGAAGCGAACTGTAAGCTGAAATTCCTAAATCAAATACTTACACACACAATCCAAATACAAACAAGGCAACAGCAGCTAAGCAGCCAAGCAGCCGAGCAACCGAGCGGGGCGACCACTCAGCCAGGAAATCGAAGTTGAGTCCAATGCTAAGGCGCAAAGGAAAATATTTTCCACTCTGACACACAGCCAGAGACATAAAGAAAAACTGCACACACACACACCCTCACACACCCTCACACACACGCACACACACATACACATGTTTAACAACATATCGTTAGGTTGAGAACTTTGTTTCGGCCATTGCCTACTTTTCTGCGCCATCAATTGAATCTGAAAATCAACTATTAAGGTTTCTTGCAGCCACTCAAAATCAATCTACAACAAAAAGTAACCAAATATACCAAACAATATACGTTTATATTTGTTGCAAAAAACTTCAAATTGTATTTGGTAGTGAGCTTTTTCTTTTCTTATTCTGAATTGCCCCACTAGGTGCGTTTTTCATTGAGGTTACGATAATTACTATTTTGTTGAGCCCCTCTTGAGTTTTCTTTGAGTAGATGGAAGTTGTAGACACTCAGAAGAGAGAAGAAATACGAACGTTTAAAATATAATAGGAAAAACTAACCAAGATTCTTCGCCTGAATATTGATTGCCATTTTGTGTTTTTTGTGGCTGCCTGACAAATTGTCAATACCTTGTTTTCATCTGCTTTGCTTAAGAAATTCAAAAATGGAGTCTGCCTTAAGTATTCCAATACACGAAAAACTATTTTATCTGAAATAGCTTAATTTTATTGCGCACTATTGTAATACCAAAAAAATGTTGAACTTTAAGTTTTTGACGCAACAAAATTCTTGACGGAACAAAATTCCTTATGATTCGAAATTAAATAATTTGTAACATTTCTAGAGCATTAGGAGTGCCACGCCTTTTTATGCAAGAGCTGCTATTATTTTGATTCTGAAATAATTGGGACAACAACAACAAGAAGTGCAGAAAAAGCAAAAGTAACAAGAAATTTTATTGACATGGGGAGAAAGAAAGAAAGGTAAATAAAAGGAATCACAAGAATACAGGAGAAGAGTAATATTATTTATTTCATTATTTTATATTGAAATTTGTTTAGGACTAGTACAAAAAAAAAAAAGGTTTCCATTTGGGGTTTCTGTTTCATTTTGTAAACCTATTGAAGGAAATCCACCCGTTGACTTATTAACTGATTTTTCCTATGGTAGCTATAACTTGTGTAAAGAATTTATTAAAAATTCAAAACACTCTGAATCTGTTTAGGATTACCTAAAAAAAAATGTCCATTTAAGGTGTCTGTTTCATTTTGAAAACCTATTGAAGGAAAGTAGCCCGCATGACTTATTAACTGATTTTTCCTATGGCAGGCATAACTTGTGTAAAGTATTTATTAAAAATTCAAAACAAACTGAATCTATTTAGGAATATCTTTAAAAATAAATGTTCCATTTGGCATTTCTGTTTCATTTTGAAAAAAATATTGAAAACTAGCTCGCATGACTTACTAAAGGATTAAAGGATTTATTATAAATTCAAAACAATCTGAATCGGCTCAATTGCTGAAAAACTTATTTGGCAAAGTTGGTTGCGTCTGTTTTCGCTCCTCTATCTGCATTGACTGCACACATTTACACAATTACAATGCACAATAATTGGTTTTTCTAGATTTTTTGGGGCTTTTACCTTAAAAGTAATTTCAAATTTTTTGTTACAAATTTTTTTTTTTTTTTTTGAGGGCTGGGTAAATGAAATCAACTAATTGGCAATTGAAATTGCTGGCAAAATGCTGGGAATGCTGCAATTGATGGGCAAAAAATTGTTGCCTGCTTGCAGGCGCATCGGCATTTTTTTCCTTTGCAACTTGTTCGATTTTGCAAAACACAACAACAATAACATGTGTAGTGAGTGCAAATATTTACAGTTTATTTATAAATCAATGTAATAACAAGCTGTCCGGCTGTCTGTCGTCCTGTCTGTTTGTTGGCAGACTGTCAAGCGCACGCAAAAATACATACAAACACACACACACACACACACGCACACATGTACAATCATGCACACACATGCACTAACATGCTTGTGTACACACATAGAAGGCGGCAGGCAGGCAGGCAGTAAGCCAAAAGTCTTTGAAGCCAAATACTTATGTCCGGCAAACCGAACGGGAAAGTTGTGTAAAAACATTTTCTATTTTCAATTTTATTGGCAGTCTAAGGCCATGAGGTGCTGCTGCTGAGTGTTTGTGTCTCTCTCTCTCTCTCCATCGCTCTCCCCATCTCTCTCCCTATCTGTTTAGGCAACATACAAAATAAATAAAAGTTGCAAGACGCTGCTGCGCTGCAGGCGCCGCAAAAGCTGTTTTCGTCTCTTTCGACTTCTTTATTTCTTTTCTTTTCTTTTATTTATTTTTTTTTCAGCTTAGCCAACGGCAAACAAACTGCATGTTATTGTTGTTGTTATTGTTGTGCCACATTGCTGCACATTGTCGAAGCGTGTGAGATTTTGTTGAGCAAACACTTTACGCCACTGACGTCCTGATGGGCAGCAGGATACTTCCACCACCAACATAACATGCCCAGGCAGAGTCCGCAGTGTCAGCAGCAACATTGCAATACCAACAACAACAACAAGAACAACAACAACAGCTTCAGTAAAAAAGATGAACTAGTTTACGATTTCATTATTAGTTTGAACAACGACAACGAGAACGTTGAAGAAAAAAGTCATACGCCCGCTGCTCGGCCTGAGCTTCAATATAACTCGACTTATTGAAAAAGTTCTGCTGCACAACACACACACACACACTCACACACATTCGCACACTCACACACACAGGCACACACTTAAAAACGGAAAAATAAAATAAAAAATAAACAGAAACAAACTCAACAGCAACTGTGTGCGGCAAGCACAAGTTATTAAAAAAAGCTGCAGCGGTTCTGAAAATTCGATTTGTTGGCCGCTTTGGACGACACTCGACTTTCTCTCTCTCCCTATCTCCCCCTATCTCCCTCCCTAACTACAAGTTACTGCCCAACAATAAGATTTGACAAGTTATATGTATATGTATGTGCTTATGTGTATTTTAGTTTATGGCTATGGGACATGTGTCTTCCAAGACATACAGCCCCCAAGTTTGAAAAAGCGCAACTCATCTATTTGACTTGTCTCCACCATTTAGCTTTTGTTGTTAACTGCAGTTGTTATGATTCTTTTATGGCGCACAGACTTAGAAAACCTGTACACGAAAAGACATTGAAAAACTTGAAAAAAAAAAAAAACAACTAACTAGGAACT